GTAGTCGACTACATCTCGGCAGGACCCATCACATACCATGTCTTATACGGAAACTGACCTCTAATATGGAGGGAAATCTGGATAAGGAAAGATAACCAGAGTTCTACATGGAAACGACAAGAACTACTCGGATCGTATCCATATTGGTTTCCCTAGTTCTACTTGGACAAGGGGACACCTATGGATATAAATACAAGGCCCCCTAGGAGGAGAGGGGACACGGACAATCAACACACCCACCACAATCTACGGAACAATAGAAGCCACAACATACAAACCAACATACGCCAAGACAAGACGCCAGATATCGACTTCAGGGATAAGCACGGCTAGTCCTCTACGGTGTCTCCGGATACTGTCAGGAGAGACGAAAGCGTTATCTCTGATCTCGCCGGCACGGATTCAAGGAGGAAGACTACCCTGTTGTCGACTACGAGTCAGACATTCAGACCGCCATGTCGACAACAGTTAGATAAGCTACCCCACATATTGTACTGGTGTGATTATGATGAATAAGAGCAACGATCGGCTTCGGCCAACAGGATGTAGGGTTATTACCTGACAATTCAGGGGCCCGAACCTGTATAAAAATCCTCGCCCCCATCTCTTTTGCCTCTGTCTCGCGTATATCCTAGTACCGACGATCTCCATACTATGCAAATACCAGAATCGCGACATCAAACGTCGACAAGTTGTAATACACCTATCATCCATTCAGATTTTAGTGCAAGAGAAAAAAAAAAGGCCTGTTTTCAAAAGTTCAGAGTCTATTTAGAGGGTCAAGTGTTCAGTAAAATAGTTTGACAAAGAAAAATTGACTACTTTCTTCTTATTATTTTTTAATGAAGAGTTCTCATTTTTTTTGAAAGGATGGCAAAATCAAATATTAATAGAGAAGCAGAAATACAGGTAAAAAATATGTAGAGGGTCAGCCAAAAAAAACAGCCAACCCGCAAAAGGAACGCACTAGGTGATATCTCCCAAAATTCCAAAGTCCTATAGCTTTGTCGCTCAATTATCAACTTCAGTAAGCTAGTCATACTTTCTAAATATAACTAGTGCATGCTTCATGTCTCTAATCTCATTTTCAGAGTGTTTCTTTGAGCAATATATAAGGATATCTAACACCAATTATATAGAGTATTGCATTGTTTGAACAATGTGAAAAGGGACTAGCATGTTTCCTCTCGAAATTATTACCGTGTTAGTTGGGAAAAAGGAGATCTATGGCATTTAGTACAGCAAAGGTCAGGATTATAATGGCATAATATGTTTTAAAAAAGAAACATTTTAAATAAAATTTAGAAATAACTGAAAATTTGACTCACAATATTGGATAGTTCAATCCATCACAAATACAATATACAAATATATGAAATCTGGAATAAAAACAAATAGCTAAAGAAGCCAACACTATCATTCTCAACCTCTATAAATTATCATACTAATATTATTCAGAGAAAATAACAAAAGATCTATATGATGATTGTGGCATGGATCTAGATTAAAATGGAGTAAGTTTAAACATATATAGAATTGACATCAGATACAATTTGAAAATAATTAAGTTCAGAATAAAAATAATAAAATTGTAGAGTCTATGTCAAAAAGCTATCTAGCTATAGATAACATTAAGAAATAAAAACAAAACAATAACAACGCAAACTGCAATAATTCAGTTGTATCCAGCCCGCATATATAAATTAGAGAGATGAGATTTCCTACTGTGGCTTCAAAGTTTGGACTAACTCTGGAGAAAATCCGAGTTAAAAAGGCGTATAAACACATTAAAATAATCAAGATGATCATGCAGGCAAGATCTGCTTGCAACTGACACAGAAAAGAAATGCCTTTCTGATCTTCCTCAAGCGCTTGCTGCCTCCATCCGGTGTAAACATGCTACCGATGAGGTTAGCTAAAATGTCATCCATGATCTAGGTAAGGGGATCAGCAGGCAGGTCAAGAAACTTTAACTAAAGAACAAGGTATTTCATTCTTTTTTTCATTTCCATCACCTCCCGGTCTACAGAGACTGATGATCTATCGAACTGCACACGGTGACACTGCGCTAGTCCAAAGATGCGACATTTTCTAGGGTTTTCCACAATCAGAGAAAGCATGTCAAATGTTAGGTGCAGGGGAAGGTAAAACGGCAATAAATGTAGTTACCCTAACTCAAAGACTCATCAAGCCAAAGAATCTGCATTCTTCAGTCTCCCTTGGAAAGGGACTGGTTGTTGAAGGGCATGCACCAGTTAAGTCATCACCAAAAACATTTTTTTTTAGTCCTGCAATCATCGTAGATATACATCGATATGGAACTATACTATCTTTAAAGCTAGTAGTAGTAGTACTAGTATGCGATTTGCTGTTGGATTAGATCATAAGATGTATTGCAACTCTCACAACTACTGTAGAATGTTTTAATGGATTAGAGATTCTGAACCATTTGCAGCCTAAAGAAACCAAGATTCTGAGCCGTACGTGATTGTTTTCTCTGCTGGATGAGTCATATACGGAGTAGCATATTGTCGGACTCGCTACAGGAATCATGGTTTCAACAGAAAAGTGATTCTTACTGACATTGGAAATACTAATTTACAAACGAGCGTGTAGTGTGAAGGGCATGCTCTGTTTCTTTCTGTAATGAAGGAGACACGAAGTTCATTTTCAAAATGGCAATGTGACACTTGCGAGTTAATAGTATGTGTGTTGCATTTTCATAATGAATAAGATAATGTTATCGCCTTTCCCATTCAATTAAATAAGAAAGACGACGTGGCACCGGCCGTGTGCTGTTGGCTGGTCAAAGAATTTTGTTTCTACAATTGGCAGCCAATTAGCTAATGACACGATTAGCTTATACAAGAAGGGTTGCATTTTTGAGAACTCTGGGCAAGTACTGATTGATTCGACACTTTGATACGGCTTTGCTCAAATTTGGTTGCATACAGGACTGAATTTGATGTGTAATCTAGCCTTGGGTAACATCATTAGGACAGGAGAAGGTGCAGGAATATCATGCTTGTGGACTACAACAAAGAACAGATATGTTTTACATTTGCGTGCTTCCACTGGTCAGCATGAGCAGTAAATTATTATTTGGCTAATCAGATTTCTGTTTGACAAATGACGAGATGCGTCTCGCAGAAGAAATTAAGACAAGGACTCAGCGAGTAGGTAGTCTATTTTTGCTCTTCTATTTTCAACTGCATTAAAAAGTTGTATGAGTAGGTAGTGGGTGCATATTGAAAGGAATACAAGTTGATACGAGGGGAAAAAATAAAAGGAAATATATCCCAAAACATGAGTTTGTGGAAGTGTCACTACTGTTAATGTAAACATTATTAATTCTCAGAGTTTATATAACAACGTTGATATTAATATCTTTAAGAGAAAGACAACAGAGTGGTCCATGTGTACCAAATGCCAGCAATTTTTTTTTTTGCATCCTATGCAGTCTTGGGTACAGATAAAACTAGCATTCCTGACAGAACATTTCAACTGCAAAATTAGCGGATATTCTTCCCTCCCTTTTATTGTGACTGCTGTCAGTGGAATTTGTAGACATGACAGTTCAAAGAGATCTTAGCGGTGAGAATCTGCCCTTCATAAAAAAAAATGTTTTGATCACATCCACAGCTGCAGGTACTGAAAATTTAAATACATTTCGATGATTCGATCACATTCATACACCCATACGAAGGAACTTGTCTTTCTTCGATAAAAGGTACCGACTATACAACTATACAAGTGACAGTATAGAAAACTACCGTACTCATGAGTACTATTAAACTCAACAAGTTTAACTATCTCCTGTCAAGTTGCAATCCACTCTAAATTTCAGTTCCCGTTGGTGTGGATGAATTCTAGACCACGAGCCTAATCTGTCCTCGGTGCAGTGCAACTGTGCAAGTGCAAGCAAGATTTGTATTCTTTCGACCCGTCAGAGTTTCATAGAACAGTACGAACTGTTGCAAGCGTGCGATTGATTTAATTCCAAGCAAAGCGCTTTAATTCTGATCCCTATACCCTACCATTCATGTTGATTAGGACAAAACAGTGGAAAATAAGGGAAGTGAATTGATCTTAATTATAGCCACCCATCCCTGTCCCATTTAAATCTCCTCTTCTTCTTTTTTTTTACCCTGTCAAAAACGTACATGATGCTTTTCACTGTTCCTCCATAACCCTCGGTTCGTCTGATGATGCAACACCGTCGCCATTGTCGAGATCGGCAAGTAATCACACACGTCTAATCACGGTGAGGCCACGCGAGATGCCTACTGAGAGATACACACCCAACTGGGCAACTTGGGAGAGATGGCGAGATCGCCCGCGAGGCCCCCACGCGACCGCGGCCGCCGGTGCGACGTCGGCCCCGACCCCGCCGGTGCCACGGAAATCAACGGCCGCGGGAATAAACTACGCAATGCGAATCACCCGCGGTGCAACAAATAGGGAGAACCTCTTTTTTTTTTTATCACCTTTTTCGCCGAGCACCGAGGAGAGAAGTTGATATGATATCCGTGGGAGATTGGGAGACGAGGTGTTAATTACTGCTCCTCTGTTTCAAATCATAAGACGTTAAACTGTTTCGTGTTTCGAGTTTAATTAAGTTTATAGAAAAATATAATAGTATTTATAATATTAAATTAGTTTCATCAAATTATTAATTAAATATATTTTCATAATAAATTTATCTTGAGTTGAAAATATTATTATTTTTTTCTATAAACTTAAATTTTAAACAGTTTGATTTTAACTAAAGTTACGTGCAAAGTAGGCGTTGTCGCGGCGAGCGCGCGCGTTGGGCGGGAGGGGTTTGGTTGGTGAGCGACGGAGTCTGCGCGGTGGGAGCCGCAGCTCGGAGCTCGGTGTCACCTGTCGCGCGCGCCGGGTCGCCGTCACCCCTCGTCAGCGACGCGCACGTCGCCACCAAGCATACCACACCCCCAAGCCAGCGAACTCGCTGTATAAATACGCCCCGAGCTGCCAGTGTCCCGGCTGCAGCTTGGCCGCACGCCTGAACACACACAACAGCAGCAGCAGCAACAGAGCACGGAGGCAGAGGCAACACCGAGACACGAGTTGTTCTGGGCGGCGGCGGCGGCGGCCGGGGACGGACGACGTACGATGGGGAAGGGCCGGGCACCGTGCTGCGCCAAGGTGGGGCTGAACAAGGGGTCGTGGACGCCGGAGGAGGACATGAGGCTCGTCGCCTACATTCAGAAGTACGGCCACGCCAACTGGCGCGCCCTGCCCAAGCAAGCAGGTAACGCATCGCCGCCGCAGAGAGAGCAGCTTGTTGTTGTCGTTGCAGAGGTGGAAGAAAGAGCAGGTTCTGATGAATCGTGGGTGTTTTTTTTTGTCGTGTGCAGGTTTGCTCCGGTGCGGGAAGAGCTGCCGACTCCGGTGGATCAACTACCTCCGGCCGGACCTCAAGCGCGGCAACTTCACCGCCGAGGAGGAGGAGACCATCATCAAGCTTCACGGCCTTCTCGGCAACAAGTACGTACGCCGCTGTAGCCATGGGAATTTCGAGTGCGATTCTTGATTTGAATAAGTTGGATTCAGTGCGCTGATTGTCTGAGTTTGTGATCGAATTTTCTCAGGTGGTCGAAGATCGCGTCGTGCCTGCCGGGGAGGACGGACAACGAGATCAAGAACGTCTGGAACACGCACCTCAAGAAGCGGGTGTCGCCGGAGCAGAAGAAGGGTGGGGGCAAGAGCAAGAAGAAGACGACCTGCACCGACGTGCTCGTCCCGTCCCCATCGCCGTCGTCGTCCACCACCACCACGACCAACTGCTCCAGCGGCGACTCAGCCGGCGAGCAGAGCAACACGAGCAAGGAGGAGGAGGAGGAGACGGACAAGATCGAGATCCCCATGCTCGAGCTCGACCCCTGCTGCTTCGACTTCGACATGCTGGTTGACCCCGTTGTCCCGGACACGTACTGCCCCGCGGTGTCGGCGTCGGCGTCGGCGTCGGCGCCGACGTCGCCGTGCTCGTCCACGTCCCCGTCGTGCGCCCGTGCAGGCGTGGACCCGCTGCTCGACCTGCCCGAAATCGTGGACCTCGGGCCGGAGCTATGGAGCATCATGGACGGCGGCGCCGGCGACGGGTGCACCGAAGCGCCGCCGCCGGCGTGGAGCAATGCGGCGGCGGCGGCGGCGGCCAATGCAACAGTGGCCACCACGACCAGCCTGGAGGAGGAGGAGGGGAAGGAGTGGTGGTTGGAGGACTTGGAGAAGGAGCTCGGGCTGTGGGGGCCCACGGACGACTACCACTGCCACCCGGGCCCACAAGGTCAGCCCGGTCGCGCGGGCCCACCACCCTCCGCCGTTGTGGAGGACCCAGTGTCGTGCTACTTCCAAGCGGGCCCCACGGCAGCCGCCACGTGGCAGGGACACGAGCCCTCGGCTGTCATCACGAGTAACCCCATGGATTACTACGTGTAAGCTCGTCGTTAATTACCCATTTTTATCTCTAGATTAGGAGATATACGATTACCCAACTCGACCGAATCGTCCAGTGATGCTACATACTTCTAGTACAATACACGCGTATAATTGTACGACCGTATAAAGGAGTACTATACCAATCCAATACGAAGACGGCATCGATGGGAACAACACATGCAAAGATGCATATATGCTTTTGGGCAGTAAAAAAGGTGATAGTTAGGCTAGGATGCACAAAAAAGGTGTTAATTTTTTTTTTGGGATGTCTATATATGTTGGGCAGATTAAGTGGTGCATGCAATCACAAATGAGTCAAGATTGCCGGTACGAGTTAACCAGAGATGTAACTTATGTACTTTTAACATCAGTTTCCAGCAGATGTTGGTATTGAATCAACGACCAAGTACCGAAGGACTGATGTTTACCGGTGTATGTATGCATGATCTCATGGCTCTGAGAAACACAACAATTAATGAGAGTTTCAGAGTCCAGCCAGATCTCATAATCTTAAACCACTAATATATATATATATATATATAATGTTTGCATTTGATATGTGAAATGATGTTGATAGATTTATCAGAAAAATGCTTTTACGTGAAACATATATTATCTCTGTTTTTTAATAGATGACGCAGTTGATTTTTGGGATATGTTTGACTATTCGTCTAATTCAAAAATTTTACGTAATTTAAATTTATTTTGTTGTGAGTTGTTTTATCACTAAAAATACTTTAAACGTGATTTATATCATGTATTTGAACAAAATTTTTAAATAAAATAAATAATCAAACATGTTTTCAAAAGTTAATGATATCATTTATTAAAAATTGAAGGGATTATATAGGACATGGTGTCCATATCCCAGATGCCAAAGTAAACCCCCCCAAAAGAACAGTAGTAGTAGGCCCTGCAAGGCTGCAACAGTAATGCATGTGTGTATATATCATCATGCATGTCGTCACTATGATGCAAACGCTTTACCATCAAATTCCTAACACCATTTATATCTAGACCAATCGCCATGCTTTGGGCTCTAGACTATACATGCATGCGATGCAGTTGTGCTTTTGACAATTGTGATGCCACCTTTCCTTGTCTCCTTTCACACATCTGCCCATGTTTCCTACTCTTCTCCTCTGCCCCCTCTTGCACTAGTTTATGCTTAATATTGTGTCTTCTTGGATGTGAGCAAAATGCATGATTAGGGACGTCATCACAGAGCATGATAAGGAGGTAGGTTACCTAACAGAGGAGGAATCACATAAGCATTGTTATTACAACTCTAATCACCCTTGAAGCATCATTGATGGGCCGAATTAACCAATGGGGCTGATTGGGCCTGAAGCTAGACTTACGGCCCATCAATTGGCCCTGTAATTTTTTAAAAAAAGTTTTAGTACCATACTGCTTGCTTAAGGGGAGATGTGAGGGAGGAGGGGGTATAAAAGATAAGCCATGGGTGCCAATGAAACATACTTACCTGGATGGGGTCTATGGGCGATCAAGAAAGCTCATGGCCTAGGCTGGTGATCTCCATTGCACAAAGGAGGGGCGCTAGCTTACCATCTCCCCAAGTGGGAGAGTGGACATCATAATTTGTGGAAGTGGGGGTACGCGTTCGCGCGGCCCCTGTCAATTCGAGTAAAAAAAATGTTGGGTTCAAATTGTAATCTTCAGGTTTAAAAATTGGTTCAAATAGAAATGTATTTTGAGTTTTCGGATTCTGGAATGACGATTCTTTCCACGGTTTTACGGAGTATTATCAGAATTGCGTTAATAGGCTTAGGCCCATACATATTGGGTTTTTATCTCTGTTTAGTAAGATAGGCCTGCTGTGGGGCTCCACGCACAAAGGCCCATGCGTTTGCTTGCGGGTTTACCCGACATGTTATGCTACCAAAATTTACAAAAGAAAAAAAATATGATATTTGTTGATAGATATTACAAGAACATAAATTTGTCTGAGTGCACTAAAAAATATGGTAACTTATGATAAGACGTCGAACGCATTAAAATACATTATCCATTCAATTGATGAGAGAGAAACCATGTATTCCTTCTATTCCAAATTATAACTACTACTTCTAGCTTCTAGACTTTGTCTCAAAATATATTAACTTCATCACTAACATTCTCTTCTCAACCAATCATATACCTACACCATTCAATTTTCCTACCTACCTCCACTTCTCATCCAATCATAAACCTCCCCTATTTAATTCTATATAATTTCTTAATAATCGCATCCAACTTAAAAAAAACCTCATATTCTAATACGGATGAAGTAAAATATTAGTTTTGCCCTCGTCTTCTTCTCTCTTCTCTCCGTCTTCCTCCAGCACTGAATTTGTCGCTGGCGCTCCATGCAGTCGCGCCACTACTCCTCACGCACGTCCTTGCTGTGCGTGAGCACAGGCTACGCACGCATCCCACTGCAAGTTCGCTACCGTTGTGCAACCCCACAACGAGGTCGCCGTCGCCACTGCTCCTCACGCCGTTCACATTACCATTCTAATAAAAATTCTTTCTCTAGCTCTAATAAAAATAGTATTTTAATGCTTTAGTGTCATGCAGCACATTACCATTTTTCTAGAGTGTTATCGTGTAAATTAACCTTTTTAAGGTGTATAATAGCAAAGATCACTTTTTTATTGTTTGTAGCATTTTTTAAAAAAAACAAAATTAGAAAAAAACAGCACTTGTATTAAAAGAACAATTAGTCATAAATATAAGCACTTCATAGACATGAATTCAGATTTCACCATAAGTAATTTTGATAATAGCAAGTTGCAGGGCTAAAATTTTATTAAAACTGGGTCGTATAATTTGCTAAATTTTCACAATGGCAGGTGGCATTGTTAAATCTGCTTTCAAAATTTTCTGCAAGTGTTTAGATTTTATTTTAGCTTCCTTATATCAGAATTTTTTACAGTACCAATCAATTGACATTAAACCAAATAGTACTATAGTAGCAGTCTTTATTGGTATTGTTAATGTCAAGTTTTTGTATATGGTTATTTAATGGGCTATAAACCAAGCAGATACGGCCCCAAAGGCCCCAAGCCCCCAGCAAACACAAACAAGCGTACTACGTACGATTCCTCCTCCGACGAGAGAGAGCTCGCGCCATGGCAGCAGCATCCGCCGTCGCCTCGTCGTCGTCGTCACCGGCGCTGGAGCCCCACCCCGACCTCTCCCCGGTATTCTCGTCGCCGTCCGCGGCTTCCTCCTCCTCGTCCTCGTCGCGCGACGAGGGAGCGCGCGGGGTCTCGTGCGAGGGGGGCGGCGGTGATGACGTGTTCGACCTGGACGCCCCGTGGGTGGCGGCGGCCGAGGCGGAGTCGAGGCTGGAGGAGGCCGTGACGGCGGCGGCCGCGGCGCGGGTTGGTCTCTGCTGCACCGAGGAGAAGGGGAAGGGGAAGGGGGAGAAGGAGGAAGATGAGATACGAAACAACCGGCAGCGGCAGGAGGACGAGGTCTGGTACACTGATCTACTGATCGGATCAGGAAATTTCAATAATTTGTTGATTTTGGTCTGTGCTTTGGTGAATTTTCTTGCAATGGGGTTGCTGTATTCGTAGTCTCGTGTGATATTGAGCTGGGAACGTTTGGAATTGCAGGGTTTTGGGCGAGGGTTTTGCACAAAGTTGCGATCTTTTTTCCCCTTCGAGAGGAAAAAAAATGCAGTCTTTCGCTTTCAATTTGAGGAAGCGATCCAGAGATCATTAGCATATAAACTGCATTGAGGAAAAGGAGCTGGTTATACGCTTTGCATGCGATTTTGTAATCATTTAGTTCTTTACAGAAGAAAAGAAATCATTTTTAGTGGGGGAACCAAAGGAGGAATTGTTGTACTCTGTAGGTTTTCTATTGAACCGATAATAGTTACATTTCATCGTAATAAGGGTACTGCTTGTTTACTTTGATGTGACCATTTGTTCTCAGCTGATGGCTTTGGAGGCGATATATACGTGATGATCTGGCTTGTATTCCGGAAACGAAAGGGGGGCTCCACTATTTCGAGGTTCTTTGTGTTGGTCATCACTGTCGTTTCTACTGTTCTTGGATGGTGGAATTTTGTTTTCATGGTTTGCTTCTGTGTCCAGATTTACATACATTACGATTTGAATGATGGCGCTGAAGTGTGTGCTAAGCTTTCTTCAGCTAATGAGAAAAATCCAAAAGATGGAAGATGTTGCGTTGGAATAGAAGGGCATGGTGACGAACCAGAAGATTTTTCTTACACTTGTAATTTTGAGTACTTGCCTCCTTTGGTCTTGACATGCTTGCTTCCACTGTCCTATCCTAGCAAAGAACCCCCATATTTTACAGTCACTGTTAAGTGGATGGATGGGCCTAATGTTTCGCAGCTCTGTAAGATGCTTGACACCATTTGGGCAGAGTTACCAGGGCAGGAAGTGGTATACCGGTGGGTTGAGTCGCTAAGAAATTCTTCTCGGTCATATCTCTGGTTTGATGGAAAAATAACGTTAGGTCCAGATACTCCAATGCAGAAAGGAGATAATCGTGCAATCTCAAGAAGTCTCTCCTTGGAGTCTGTAATTCCATCCATGCTCAGTTACAGTAGTAAGAAGCGCTATCAAGCATTTCTTGAGGATCTCCACATGTGCATGATATGCCTCAGCCAGAGCAAAGGTAAGCTCCTACAAAACACCATCCTTCTCACATTGCAATCATACGAACCAAATTCGCTCCATGCCTTTCACTTGTTGAATCTGTGCCATAGCTGTAACAATTAACTGGCTGAAACTTTCATTCTTCACACATTAATTGTAATTGTGTGCTAATAAGGCCCAATGAACCTGTTATTTCACCGGTTTATTTCTAAGATTTTTCATAGGAAACTGAACATGCTCAATCTGAAGTTCTTTTCCCTGTAAACTAACTTAAGTTTTGAAACAATTAGGTTCAAACTTCATCAGGCTTCCATGCCAACACCTCTTTTGTGTGAAGTGCTTGGGGACGTTATGCAGGATGCATGTCAAGGAAGGTAGTGTGTTTCAGTTGGTATGCCCTGATACCAAGTGCAATGCTTCAATTCCACCCTATGTGTTGAAGAGACTTCTTACAGAAGATGAATTTGAACGTTGGGATAGGCTTACTCTTGAGAAAGCACTGGACTCCATGTCAGATGTGGTTTACTGTCCAAGATGCGTGATCGGTTGCTTGGAAGATGAGGATAATAATGCACAATGTCCAAAATGCTCCTTTTTCTTCTGCTCGTTTTGTAAGGAGCCATGCCATCCTAGGAGGCAGTGCTTGACTCCAGAGGAAAAGCTCCAGCGCCGGCAGGTACAAAATGAAATATATCCAGTGAATTCTTTTCTATATTAGCAGTTGATTGTCATTCTAGTAGTAGTGATCTGTTAATCTCCGATAAACATATCTGATGGTTCATCAGTAAATCCTTCAATGATATACAAATTATGAGTACTCGGTGAGAAATCTCATCAAAACTATTTCAAGGGTACCATACAGAATACGCTTTTGGCACCTTTGTGCTACAGAGTTATTCAATGAGTTGCAAAATGCTGACATTATACTCTAGGGACATTTTTCCTTTTATTGACTTACTTGTTTCATGTTTGCAGGCGTCAGGGAGGATGTCTGAGAGAGAGGTGGCACAGGAAATACTGAACATCAAAGCATTATATAATGATGTCCGATTATGTCCAAAGTGCCGAATGGCCATCAGCAAAACTGCAGGGTGCAACAAAATGGTGTGCGGCAACTGCGGTCAGTTCTTCTGCTTCCGCTGTGGCAAGGCCATAAAGGGTTATGATCATTTCAGGTAGGCCATCAACTGTAACTTCTAAAATGAAGTATCCCTTATCTTGGAAACAGGGGAAGGCATCCAGGATATTTGAGCTGTATATATCTATGCATGTATGGTTTGACAAGCTCTTGCCCATTGCAGCGAATGTAAGCTCTTTGCGCCTAGAGACATATCAGCGTGGGAGAGACAAATGGAAGAGCAGTATGGAAATCATGTACGGCTTTCACTGCGCCCTGTAGGCGGTACAATCAGGTGTCCAAAATGCCGTGAAAGAAATTTCAAGGTAAAGAAACCTATCTTCTCCATCTATTCATGAGGCATGAATGTTGCAGCATTTGGTAAATTTCCCTGCGTATACATCTAACCAATGACAATACGCATCCAGGATGATGAGAAATATATCTTCTGCTGGGCATGCCGAGCCAACTACTGCACAATGTGCAGACGTGAAGTCCAGGACAAGAGGGGGCACTTTGGGTCACCGGAATGCGTGGGGCTTGAAGATTTCTAGCATCTGATCTGTGTACTCCTATGGTCACATTTTTACAGTTTACGAAGTTAGCTGTTATGTCAAATGCTCAATCTGACGTCGTGTGTAATCGATTGATGAGAACCATATACTCCTATCTAAAAGCTGCAACAAGAGTTGTTGTCACCTTTACCTTATATTCATGCATGGTTAATTTATACTCCATTTTGCTGACATGTTCTGTTTCATTGGCAAGTGCAACAAAAGCACCTGTAATCTGTGTGATCAGCACTCGTGCCAACAGTTCTTACAATATATGAGCAAGGCTTGAGAATTGAGAGAGTTTATTGCTTATTACTCCCTCCATTCTAAATTGATCTACATAAAGTTTTTTTTGAGGTTATTCCTAAATGATTTATATATTTGTGTTCATTCATTAAGTATATTCGTTATTTGTGCATTTGGAGTAAATGGACATTGATGCATGCATCCATGCACATAAGTATTTATAACCCACATGCAATATCTTGATTTGTCATTGGCTAGGAAATAGTGGGGATGGTACATGCATCGAGTTTGTTGCTAGAGTAAGGTCCTGTTTGTTTCAGCTTAAGATTATTATAATCTAAATTATTAAATCAGATTACTCTAAGCTGGATTATAATAAGCTGACATAGAATAAGCTGAGCTGTTTGTTTCTCTAGATTATGAAGTCATCTAAGGGTAGTGGGTCTTTAGCCACCCAATAATCTGAAAAAAGCTCCTCCACAGGAGATTATTAGATTATAGTAATCTGGCTTATAGATTATAATAATCTATCATAATAATCTACTTGTTTGTTTCAGCTTACTCCTAATAATTCAGATTATAATAATCCTAAGTTGAATCAAACATGGCCTAAATATAGTACGAGAGAGTTATTATTTTTTCTTGGTCTTAGTGTACCTATGAAATATGTAGATCAATTTGGAACGGAGGGAGTATGTATGAGTAGTAGGTAGTAACACACGCAGCTAGTCAGCTACACCCTACAGATCTGCTATTTGCAGGCTATCGCATTGATCTACAGCTCCTGGAAACGTCAGTTGCCGTGAATGATCTTAATAAGCGTCGTGTAACAGCTGAAACTCTTGAAGGAGATTATGTCTGTTAATCCATCAAACACACTATAAAAAATGGCCAAAAGTTCGCATTCGATATTCAGACGGTGCAATCAGCAAAGCCTGCAACCATGAAGAAACCCACACGCCAAATGGTGCCAGCCCTCGCCATCCTGGCTCTCTCCGTCGCCGGACTCGCCGTCGCCGCCGCCGCGGCGCCGCCCACCCGGAGAGGGCAGGAGGTCCACCTGTTCGAGGCCACGGTGCGCGTCGCCGACGACGGCGTGGAAGATCCCGACGAGTACAACTACCGGTTGCTCGCCACCGTGCTCGGCAGGTCGCCTTCTGCTTCTCTGATCTGAGCTCCATTGTTCATATCATTTTGCTTCTTCTTTCTTTTTTTTTTCTGACGGTGATCTCCATTTTTCGCATGAAGCGTCGAGGCAGCTCAGAGCGTCACGTATGAGACTTACCCTGGGACATTCAGTGCGTTCCTCACGAACAACCAGGCCCGGAGATTGTCCAGTGAGTGAAATTCATACCGCCACAGCTCCAAATTTTCGAATAGAGTAGATGATTTATTAGATTACTGATGTATGCATAATCTGTTCGTGATTTCATTTGACAGAAGTACCGGGGGTGCTGGAAGTTAGGCAAAGGGACGATCCTGTGCCTACGGATGGACAGTGATAAGAGTTTGTATGAGGATTTGTACCATCCAGCGGTTCCAAATCCCAATCACAAAAACATGGAAGATTTATGTCTGAGCTAAAAGGAAGAGTATATGGAAAGGTTAATGTGCTTTGAATATTATAAGATTGATTAAAATTCAGCAAGCTTTGCACGAACTGATTATCCTCTACGTCAGTTTACTAATCTTCCACAACAAAAATATGTGTGCAAAGTTGCTCCTTGAAACTGCATAGGATAATATTAACCGCATGTAATAACATGTACCGTAATGATGCAACGGCTCTAGAAGGAAATACGCCACAGTCGAAACCGATGCTCTCTGCCAACAGATCATCACAGAAGTGTTACGAACCAGAGTCATCGTTTTTGTTTGCCTTGAATCTGAGGGGGATCTCAGGGTCGACACTGTGCTGCTTGCATCCACGGGGACCATAATGCTCGGAGCTCTTCCGAACCATCCTGTGGCACTGCGCACAGTAATGAACCTGGCATGCCCAGCAGAACATATGGCTGTTGTTTCCCATCTGCTCACAACAGTGACAACAATATTTCATTTACCAACATCAGGAGAACTGAAACTAAAGCTATTGAACACAGTCCTTACTTGCCAGATCACGGCAAATGGATGAAAAGTACATATTATATGTGAAAAGTTATCTTCCACTATCTAAAAATGTGATATGTTAAAACTACAACAATACCTTAGGATTTGGTTGGCGACAATTTGGGCACGGATGCTGTCTTGACAGTTCCCCCTCCAGTTCTTTCTTCACCTCCTCAATGAGGACGGTTGGATTCTTCTTCGTTGCCAGATTCTCCTGGTATCTGCAGGGCTCACTTTAAAAGAAGAGCACTGTTTCAGAATTGGTATCAAGAAAATAAGTACATGAAAGAATATTTAGTAAACCATTCTAGACTTTGAGATCTAAGAAGAATGTACCTTGAATGGCCATGATTCTCTGCCTTGCCACAGCCATAGCAGAACGATTGCCTACAGTTACTGCATAACATATGGTTGCAGCCTGATACTCGGGAGATGGCAGTACCACAATGTGGACATCGAACAGAAGAACGGAGCACTTCCTTGATGCTGGATATTTCATTTGACAAGTTCATTTTACTGGCAAAGCTGTCTTTGCTTAAAAAAGGCACCACGGTGCGATCCTGTATTGTGATCCAGATACAATTATCATTGCATAGAACTCCACTATAACGAATAATCAACAAAGGATATATTATCCGACATGACATCATATTTTACTATAACCATGAAAAGAATGTGTCGTTGTGGCCCCCTTCAAATGAAAGTAATATGGAGTGTATGCACAGTTACGGACTTACTGTATACAGACTACAGATATATGAAGTTAAAGAAAGTTATCTTATTGATCCTATTCTCTGGAAACAAAAAAAGAAAATCTAGAATTACAGATTCAGCAAGGAAATGAACTCAGCCACACTGGACACCAATCCCAAATCATATAAAACAAATCATTTGGTTACCATCAACAAGACATTGAGCTAGTTAAATATAAGAAAATTCAACTTCTTAATGCAAAGACAAATTATTTATAACCAGAGGCATACCAGAAATTCACATGTGTCCTGGATATTTTATTAATTATTTAATCCATGCTCTAAATTTCTACGAACAGCACCTCACTATGTTCATGGCTCGTAATTCAACTTTTAAAAGTTAAAACAAAATTCTTAAAGAAAAAGAGAAGATTTTTTTTTTAAAAATACAGAATAATCAGATATCTCTTTAGGAAATATCTAGGATAATTTTGGCATTCACAGATCATCTTTTTCTTGGAATGTTGTATTGAAATTAGACTCTGATAGTGAGCATTCACAGATAATACTAATTGGTGGCATTAGCAGGATTTTTCCATAGAACATGGGCTGTTATACATTTTCTACCTGTAAGGAATTTAGCTTTTCTTCTATAGTCATGCACTTCTCCCCTATGTGACGGCGATCTCTGCAGCGGGCGCAGAAGCTGAAGAAGCACTTGGGGCACTGGGCATTGTTCTCCTCGTCTTCCAGGCAAGCTGCTCCACATCTTGGACAGTAAGCCAAGTCTGACATTGAGTCTAGAGTCTTCTGAAGTATCAATCTTTCCCAGCGTTCAAAATCTGTATCTCCTAGCAACCTTTTTAATAGACTTGGAGGAATGATGCCCCCGCACTTGTCGTTAGGACACAACAATTTCAGCACTGTTCCTTCTGTGACATGCATCCTTGAGTACGTTTCCATACACCTCCGACAAAAGTAATGCTGGCATGGAAGTGTAATAAAATCAATACCTGAGGGAAATCAATAGACATGGATTTAAGTAAGAAATTGTCCAGATTGTAGATATGATGGAATTTTACCTTAGAAGAATGGGACAATAACATGATTACATGCCATGGTACTGACTACAAATAATCTTTTTTGTGATTAGAAACTTGGTAAAGAAGCTTATAATGGAACAATATTTTTTTAAAAAAACACCTTTTTTGCGGGGGAAAAAACACTTATTGTGATGAAATTATGAAACAATAGGAGGTAAACACTGAAAAAGTATTATCTTCAGAACACGGAGTTCAGACTAATAAGATATAGGTATCTATTACAGAGCACAGCACAAAGAGAGTTACTAGAGTATCAACTGAAATGTCCCAATTACCCCCGTACTCGGTGAAACAAATCATGCAGTCATGAAGGCCACTTAGAAAAGATTCATGGCATTGCTCCTCATTGTAGCTGATTAACCATTGTGCAACAGACTCTACAGACGCAATCTCTGCAACAGCACGAACATCCACAGGACCCATCATACTACCAGGCTGTTGTATGAGTATCCCATCATCAAAACCAAGATGAGAAAGCGCAGAGCTCTGCAGCCATTGCACCCACGCATAAACAACTTCCTGTCCAAGTTGCTGTGTCCAGATTGTGTCCAGCATGAGACAAAGGGAGGAAACTTTCACGGCATCCAACCACTGTGAACTGAGAGTAAAGTATGGAGCGCGATGGCTTGGGTATGATGGAGGCATAAGGCATGTCAATGAAATTGGAGCCAAGTGCTGGACACTGAATGTGTCAAAGAATCAACTATTTTGGTCATGGTTATCACCCTGGGATAGCTCTGTGGATATGCTGGTACCATCAGGAATTTCCCAGTGCACATGGACCTTCAAACAAGTGACAACAACAAAGATATCAATAAGTTTTGTGGCGTCTCTGACAGATAATCATGTGACTAATATAAAGATGTACCTGGAAACACCATAGACCAGCCTTTGCACTGAAAATGCCTATATTGTCTCCATAAATTGCCTCCAGTGCCAGCATCTAAGAAAATCATATGTAACATCACAAATAGCGGTTTAGATCATGTTTGGACAAAGAGGGTGACGGTTCCAATCACTGATTTTTTATTTATTTATTTTTTCTTACAATATAGAGTTGCCTGAACAAATATTTACTTCTAGTTAGGCTTCAGAACATCAATATAAAGCCGTACGCAGGCTTACAGGAAGCTTTCTTAGACCACTTGCAGAGTAGCAAAAAATTTTATCCTACAATCAATGCAGTTGTTTCAGATAACACCCTCTATGAGAGAAGAGACCAGACCACAGAGGGGGATAACAATTCATGATCTACATACAATCTGTAACTTAACTGACTTGAAGGCGAAATCGGCATGTTCTAATTTGTCCACCACGACTGAATAGTGCACTGAAATGAACTTTCTCTACACCAACACACACACTGCACACCTGCATCCTATCAACTCGATGCCTCCATTGTACTACACTACTCGGACAGGATCGCACGAACGGGGATGCGAATCCCCCCGAGCTCGCAACGCGGTTCTGACCCCGAGACGGGGTAGCATCGCGGCGGACGGGACGATTCGATCGAGGAGTGGGGGGCGCGAAGCGGGTACCTCGTCTTGCTGGAGCTGGTCGTTGGAGCGCAGCTGCTCGTCCGGCAGCAGGTCGGGCTCCTCCCCCTCCCGGCGAGCCCGGAGCAGCATCTCGTGCAGCAGCAGGTGCAGCCCCGCCGCCGCCGCCTCGCCGCCGGACTCGTCGTCAAGCTTCCGCTTCGGGCTCTCCATCCTTCGCTCCAGGCTTCCAGTTCCAAAGCTAGGGCTTTGGTTGCAACGACCAGATTCGCACTAAACAGGAGCGCCGCGCGGAGCTCCGCCGCCGTACGAGCAACGGAACGGAGAGGAGGAGACGTGGCCGATCGATTCAGTGCGCGCGCGGCAAGGAACCCACCGCCATTTCGGGACGAGACGAAGCGACGCGAGCAACGATGTGGCGGTGTACTACCGGATACACGATGCGGTGCGCTCCGTGTTGCACGCCCCAGATTCGAAGTGGGCCTTCTCGTCTGGATTGGTAATGGGCTCGCAACAAAACTTGGTGGGCCTAATTGGGCTAGAACGTCGTGGGCGTAATCGGGTTAAGATATCTGGCCAGACCAAAGGAAATGGCATGAAGCAGCGGTTTTTTCTTTTCTTTTTTTTTTGAGGGAACTGTAGTATGGGCACATTTTATTACCACAATGTTAGTTTGGACTATGTAATTTTGTTTTTATTGTGGTTTAGACAACCCAAAACTAGCCTTCAGCACATAAATGACCTCAAACCCATCGGCTCCAACACATTAGTGTCTGCTAGAGAAGAGTGTTTGTGTGATCCAAATTGCAACAATCGCAGAGGTGACTACTCCAAAGAAAAATATTAGGCAAAGAGTGGTTCCAAGTAAATCTTTCATAAAAAAAATTCGAAAAGGAGAAAACTTTCATAATAGAAGATGACACAAACTGTAAATATGTAATTCACTCACCTTTTTCCCCCTATATCCTGCTGCTACAACTATGTTACAGGTACACTCGCACACTTGACACATCAAACAAACGAAATCATTTCAATGGAAAACATTATTATAGAGAGAACATGTCGTTTGAGGTTGAGAGTTCGGTTGCTTTGACAAAACAATTCATGACAGACCATACATTGTCCGGATGAAAGAAGTAAACCATAGCTGAAACCGATCAATGCTCCGCCAACGGATCACCTCTCAAGTCTATGTGTTCTGAACGAGAGTCACATTTTTGCTTATCTCGAGCCGGAGGGATCTAGGGGTCGACACTGTGCTGCTTGCATCCACGGGGACCATAATGCTCCGAGCTCTTCCGCACCACCATGCGGCACAGCGCACAGTAATGAACTTGGCATGCCCAGCAGAAGATATGGTTGTTATTTCCCATCTGCTCACAACAGAGATAACATTTCATTTACCAACATCAGGTGAAAGGGAAACTACAGCTGTTGAATATACAATCCTTTATTTAGTTTTGTCAGATTCTTATCTTCCAATCACCGTAATAGGAAGAATCACAAATACATATGATATGTGAAAAATCCTCATCCATTATATAAAAATATGATATGTCAAAACTCAGCATTACCTTGGGATTTAGTTGGCGACAAGTCGAGCACGGATGCTGTCTTGATCGTTCCTCTACCAGTTCTTTCTTCATCTCTGTGATCAAACTACTTGGATTCACCTTCAGTGTTTCTCCTGCCGAATTCTCCTGATCAATTCTGCACTGTTCACTTAAAGAGGAGGGGGCACTGTTTCAGAAAGGATATCAAGAAAATAGATACATGACAGAATTTTTAGTGAATCATTCTAGACTTGAGCCATCAGAAGAATGTACCTTGAATGGCCACGATGCAGTGGCTTGCCACAGGAATAGCAGAACGGTTGCCTACAGTTACTGCATAACATGTGGTCGCAGCCTGATACTCGTGAGATGGCAGTACCACAATGTGGACACAGAACAGAAGAACGAAGCACTTCCTTGATGCTGGATATCTCATTCGCCAAGTTAATTCTCCTGGCAAAGTTTCCTTTGCTTAACTGACGCACCTTATTGCGATCCTGTATTAAATGAATCACATCAAACATTGTAATCCAATACAAATTATCCTTGCATAGAACTCCATTATGGTAAATAATCAATAATACATTACCACAAATGAAATCATATTTTGTACAAGAATGTGTTACTGTGTCCCCAGGAAATTAATACATGTGCGGTTACTGACTGTATGCAAACTACAGATATATCACATGCAAGAAAGTTATCTTGACTCCTCTTCTCTAGAAACTTTTAAAAGGAAGGGTTCTAGGACCACAACTTCAGTGAGGAAATCAACTTATCCACAAATGGTATCCTTGGACACCATTATCTGGTCATCACCAGTAGCTGGACACTGAGCTAGCTAAGTGCCTGAAATTTTAAATAATTAATGCAGAACAAATTGTTAAGCACCAGAGCCATGTTGGAAAGGCACATTCCCATGCTCTAGATTTCTATGCCCAGCACTTCACTAGATTCATAAGTCACAATTCAACTCTTAAACAAAAGTTTAAAATAAAAGATTTTTTTCACCAAATTCAGACTAACCAAATAATCTCTCTTTTGTCATTCCCGAGTACTCTTGTTCTAAGAAGGTTGTTTTGAAACAAGACTCTGATAGTGATTGATTCATAGCTAATATGAATCAGTAGCATTTAGCTGGATGTTGAATATAGCATGTGCTGTAATTCCATTTTGCTACCTGTAAGGAAAGAAGTTTTTCTTCTGGACTAATGCATCTCTCTCCTATATGACGAAGGTATCTGCAGCGGGTGCAGAAGCTGAAGAAGCACTTGGAGCACTGGGCGTTGTTCTCCTCGTCTTCCAGGCAAGCTGTTACACATCTTGGACAGTAAGCCACGTCTGACATTGAGTCTAGAGTCTTCTGAAGTGTCAATCTTTCCCATCGTTCAAAATCTTTGTCTCCTAGCATCCTCTTTAGTAGACTTGGAGGAATAATGTCCCCGCACTTGTCATTAGGACACAGCAATTTCAGCACTGTTCCTTCTGCGACATGCATCCTTGAGTACGTTTCCATGCACCTCTGACAAAAGTAATGCCCGCATGGAAGTTTAATGAAGTCAATACCTGAGGGGAATGAACAGACATATGGATTCAATTTTAAAGTGCCCAGACTGAACATAAATGATGGAACTTTGACTGCTATGGTTATTCATTAGAACAATGGGACATGAATATAATTACCTGTCAGAGCACTGACTACAAATCATTTTTCTTTTTGTGATAACAAACTCGGTAAAGAAGCTTGTAATGGAATAATGTTTTGAAAATTTCAGTTCTGGTAGTGATGAAATTATGAAACAATAGGAGGTAAACACTGGGAAAAGTATTATCTTCACAACACAGGTATGAACTGAAGCATACCAATTACCTGCACGCTCCGTGAAACAAATCATGCAGTCATGAAGGCCAATTAGAAAAGATTCATGGCATTGCTCCTCATTGTAGCTGATTAACCATTGAACAGCAGATTCTACGGACACAATCTCTGCAACAACACGAACATCCACAGGACCCATCATACTATCAGGCTGTTGTATGACTATACCATCATTAAAACCAAGATGAGAAAGTGCAGAGCTCTGCAGCCATTGCACCCACCCATAAACTACTTCCAGTCCAAGTTGTTGTGACCAGATTGTGTCCAGCATGAGGCAAAGGGAGGAAACTTTCACAGTGTCCAACCACTGTGAACTGAGAGTAAAGTACGGAGCATGATGGCTTGGGTATGATGGAGGCATAAGGCATGTGAATGAAATTGGAGCCAAGTGCTGGACGCTGAATGTGTCAAAGAATCGACTGTTCTGGTCACGATTATCATCCCGAGATAGCTCTGCGGATACACTGATGCCATCAGGAATTTCGCAGTGCACATGGACCTTCAAACAAGTGACAACAGAAAAGGTATTTGTAAGTTTTGTTGGTCTGTGACGGATAATGAATCATATGTGACTAATAAACATATGTACCTGGAAACAACGTAGTCCATCCTTTGCACTTAAAATGCTTATATTGTCTCCATAAATTGCCTCTAGTGCCAGCATCTGAGCAATCATGTGACATAACAAATAGCAGTTTAGAGTATGTTTGGAAAAAAAGATTGGCGGTTATACTTACTGATTATTGCTAATGATTTTTACAAATTAGATATTTACTTTGCAACTATTGCAAGTGTCATTCTAGTTATGCTTTAGAGTTTAGACTAATAGATGGCTGTACGCGGGCTTCCAGTTTCGAAGTTTGTTTAGACCACTGACAGTGGCAGAGTAGCAACATTATGTATTTATGAATCTTGAGAGATTTTATAGTCCGTGAAAAAATACCTCGAGGTAGCTAATTTTACGCTAAATTTTTTGGTACCTCAAAATACTTAGTATTCGGAGGTATCAAATTTTATGCTAGAAAGTGTAGTAACTCCTGGTATTTTTTTTAGAATTTTGCAAAATTATAATTGCATGGTTCCAATTTTCCCTTTTTTTTAAGGATGTAAAATTACTCTATGATCTTACAATCACCACTGTTAGTTTCAGATGGCAACCTCGATGAGACTCGATGAGAGAAGGACCACTGAGAGGAATCGATAACACTGATAATGAACTGCAAGTCTGCGATCTGTAACTTAACTGACGAAGCCTAGAACAGTAGAACTAGAAGTAACCCGACGAATCCTAGCCCGCAAGGGCTAGAACTGCAAGGGGTAGAGGCACGCGGCGGACGGGATGACCGGACGACGAGGCATCGATTCGATCAAGGAGTGGGGGGGTGGGCGAGCGGAGCGGGGGTAGGTTACCTCGTCTTCCTGGAGCTGGTCGTTGGAGCGCAGCTGCTCGTCCGACAGCTCCGGCTCCTCCCCATCCCGGCGAGCCCGGAGCAGCATCTCGTGCAGCAGCGCCGTCGCCGCGGCCCCTCCGTGGGACTCGTCGTCATGCCGGGGGGTCTCCATCCTTCCGACTGGGTGAGGCCGTTAGGGTGAGGGCGCCGCCGCGCTTTGCAGCAGTGGAGGAAGCCGAATCCATGTGAGCTCCGCCGCCGCGCGAGGAAAGTAGGAGACGTGCCCGATTCAGTGCGCGCTCGCCAAGGAAGCCCGACGCCACCACGTTCGATTCGGGGAAGAGAACCGTACGGTGAAGGGGTGTACGATGCGGTGCGCAGTGCTCTCTTTTTTTCCTTTTTCAAGGTGGGCCCTTTTTTTTCCTTTTTCAAAGTGGGCCCTCTCGTATTGGTAATGGGCCCCCTGAAAACTTAATGGGCCTAATCAGGCTAAAATATCTGCATAATAAGTTCACCTTAGATCCCTCAAGTTGGCGCCCAGTCTGAAATTCATCCCTAAACCAAAAACCAGATATAATGCGCCATTCAATTCTTAAAACCAGTGCAATTCCACATTACACTAGGTAGAATGTACTCCCTCCGTTCCCCCATATGCATTTTCCAAAAAATGCGCAGAAATGTTTATATCTTGAAATAGAGGAGTACATTATTTCACTTTGTACTGAATTTAGTATATACTTTCACCTTACACTATAGTATGTCAGAATAAGTTTCACGTTGCACTAGGTTATTTCATACAATTGAAGAGAAATCTTGTAAAATATACATAAAATTTATGAAACCCTTTGAATTTAGACCGTACTATTTCACAGTCTCATTCGGGATTTATGAATTTCCATGAAATTGTTTATAGGCCTTGATTAATCCTTCTGTTAACTAAAACATATTACCACACAAGGTGTAAAGTAATAGTATGTCCATTCTAAAGTCGTGGTACAGTCGCGCGCATCAAACTAATTAAAATCCTCAGTAACAATCCCATTTTATTTACACACCAATGCAGGACAGAACAAACACTATCTGGCATCTCGAAAAGAATCTTGCAAGAATTTTTCCATAGATTGTTGTCATGTTTCTGTTCCTGATGTAAGAGGACAGGCATCCTGAATATACACAGTATTCTCAATAACAAGTCCGGAGCTAAATGAATGAGCGGCACAAAATTCCCTCCAATATAAATGGTTGAGCTTTTACTGGTACAAGGAAGCAGGAGACTTAAAACAAGACTCACGGCCAAACCTTGGAATCTCGAAGAAAATACACCCTGGTGCAAGGAGTATATGTATTCGCATACGCGCACAGAACCTCTGGAAATAGCATTGTCGTCGAGGTATTTTTGGTGATGCGTAATACGAGAAGAACTCTCAGGGATCTGCAGTATGCTGTTTGCATCCTTTTGGACCAAAATGCTGTGAGGTCTTGTGGACAGTTTTCCGGCACAGTGCACAGAAGTGCTTCTGGCATGCCCAACAGAAGACGTGGTTGTTGTTTCCCATCTGATCAAGTTACCGAAACAAATGCAAAATTAGGAGCTAGGGCAAAGGTATAGTGTATTAGAAAAGAAAATTAGCAATGCGGTTTAAAGACGCTAGGACATTCTCTAGAAGCATGCAGGGTTGGGGTCAGCCCTACCCTATAGCTCAAAGCAAGAACCAAAATGCATGATAACAGGGGCTGATTTAGTAATGTTAAGGTGGGCAAAGGTTGTTTTCAACCCCAACCCCCATCCCACCCCCCAATAAAACAATCTTTATCTAAAAATTATATGTTTACACGTGCTGTTATTCTACATATTAAAGCCCCGCGACCATGAAAAGAAAGTACGGGGTAACACTTTTCGTTAGGTTAATGCAAAAGACACCTTTGACCAAAAAAAAAGGTGGTTGATATTACCTTCGGACATGGTTGCCGGCAAGTAGGGCATGGATGAGCAAATTGCCGAAACATTTCAGCTTGCACTTGTGCAACATTTTGACGCTGGACCCTCGGATTCATTTGCATGTTCCATCTATCAAGCTCTTCCTGAGGGAAAAGCTTACATGAACCCCTGGGCATAACAACATGATTGGTCTTTGTCAAGTTTGTGTATGATAATGAGCAGAAATTGCATATTGCCCCAAAAGAAAACTAACCTGAAATGTTCATAACCTTCAATTGCACTGTTACATTGGTAGCAGAAGTACTGGCCACAATTACTACATGACATCTTATTGCATCCTTCTATCTTATGGATAGCCATCTTGCACCGCGGGCACATTTTTGAGTCCTTCATAATTGCCTTGATGCTGCGTAGTTCCTCCAGAAACTTATGCTGATCTCCCTGTAATTTTCCTGCTTCTTGGCGTTTCTGTCAAATAAAGAAAGTTACTATGCAGAGAAAAATACAAAGCAAACAACAGAAGCAAATGAGACATGGTTTGCAATAAGAATAAATTATAGCCTGATTGTTACCACACTAGAATCAATCTAAATGCAATTGTCTAACATAATCACACTGAAGATGAGAGAGAAACAACACGTACACCTATGATATTGCAACCCGCAACATACCAATCCATAAAGTGTAGCGAACTGCATACCAAATTAGATTTTAAAAAACAGTTTACGCAACTTACAAAAGGTAAGTTTACTATTACTCATAATAGGTAATTTATAAATCCGAAGGGACTCTGATAATCATAGAAAAAAAACTATTTATGCAACTTATAATTTATATAAAAGAACTGCATACCAAATTAAGCCTACAAGTGGAACATCAATGTCAGATCATAGTTTAGAAAGGATTGATAATTCAGATCTATATAACACAGCAAACCATATTATAATACTTTTTATGGTTTCTATTGGATAGCAAATCATTTCTCAATGGAACAGATTACTATCTCTAGTTTCTACCGCTGTGGAAATCTGTTAAACATGATAATAGAAGTCTCATAACTAAACTAAATGCAATATAAGCTAAATTTATGTGGAATGCAGTTCTCCCACCTCCAAAATAAGTAGTTTTTCTTCAGGCGACATACATTTGTCCCCAACATGACGGCGGTCTCTACAAAGCGTGCAGAAGCTGAATAAACAACTTGAACACACAGCTTCATTATCTCCATCCTCCAAGCAAGCAGTTTCACATCTCGGACAGTAGACTACATCACTCATGGAGTCAAGAGTTCTCCGAAGTAGCAATCCTTCCCAACGTTCAAATTCTTCTTCCCCAAGAAGCCTTTTCAATATATTAGGAGGAACAACAACTCCACATTTTGTATCAGGACATAGCAACTTCACCACAGTTCCTTCCTTGACATGCATTTTACAATATGTTTGCATGCATTTCAAGCAGAAGAAATGATGGCATGGAAGTTTGACGAAATCAGTTCCTGATGATGTAACAAATTAGACTGAAAACATAGTAATATAGATAATGAGGATTAAGCAAAATGTAACAAGTGAGTTGGATACTTGGATTCCCATCATAAAGATCTGCCACATGATTCTAAATTTTTACATGCAAGTACAGTCTTTCGAAGAATATACCTTTAAGACACTTCACAAACAAGAGCAGAAAAATTGTTACATGAAATGAATACCTCTTAATCATGGTATCGATATAGCAGTGTCAAAGTTACAATATCTATGCGTTTTGGGGGCTAAATAACACACATTGTGGTAGATCTAACCCCAAAATAGTTCCAAGTTGTACAAGCATGACCACAGGCTAACATAAACCTATTGTGGTAATTTGTTATTGTAAGCCCAAGACTTTCAAAACTACAGCAGTAAGACTATAATACTACAATTGTTCTATGGTAATGAAAAGGCAGAAAAGTTAGAACAATTCCAAGCTGTACCAGGACTACAGACCAACACAAATCAACTATGGTAATTTGTTGTTGCAAGCACAATACTTCAAAACTGCAACAAGTGAGACTATGACACTAGGATAGTTCTGCAGAAATGGAAAGGTGGAAAAGTTACCAGGAAACTCGCTGAAACAAATCATGCAGTCATGGATAGCACGTAAAAAGGCTTCATGGCACTTATCATCATTCCATCTCATCATCCTAGGAATTATAACATCGGGTGCAGCATTATGTGAAAGAGCACGCTTATCTCCACACTCATGATCATACGCTGAATCACTGCTTAAAACTATCTCACTAGCAAACCCTAAGTGAGATAGGGAAGAGCTTTGGAGCCATTGTGCCCACTGATATGTTACTTCCACGCCCTTTTGCTCCTCCCAAACTGTGTCCAGCATTTGGCATAGTGATGAAACCATCATTTTGTTCATCCACTCTGCTGAGATAGTGAAAAGAGGAGGCTGATGACTAGGGTATGGTGAAGGCAGAAGGCACGTTAGCAGGATTGGCGGCAAGTGCTCAACTCTAAACTTGTACACGAGATCATCAGAGGCATCAGTATCATGGCCTGCTCCATATTTCAGTGATCCAGAACCATAACCGAGCCTTGCCGATACATCGATACCATCTGGGATCTCAATATAAACATGAACCTGCAATCGTATCAGCAGATGAAACCCTCTCCTGAATGTTATACTATGACCTCAAGATAGAAGATGAGGAAAATACCTGGAAAGACCGTTGGCCTCCCTTCGATTTGAAAATGACTACATTGTCTCCAAAAATGGCCTCCAAGGCAAAGATCTGAGCATAGAATTTCCTTTTAATCTACTAAAATAAGTAAATGATCACACATTCAAGCTTTAGAAGAATGACAGCAAACCAAGAATCACTACATTGTACATACAAACACTCCCTTTCAACTGCTTGGCTCCATATTATACCTAGGCCATTCAACGTGCATAGTATTTTCTCCCTTTCTTTCCAATGTGATTAGCAAATTGTAAACCTTACCAGATCATAAAATTTTACTAACATTGGCCTAAATGCAGGCATGGCATAGCTATATGGCATCTCTTCGCTTTGCCTCAGGTCCACAGGTAATTCCATCATACAAAAAGTTTGCTATGTGCCTAAGAACAGACTCTCAGTTGGCCAGAATTTCACCTACTGTCTTCACATCTATGACAGAATCACAGAAGCCACTCAATTATGCTTAGCCATCTGCAGACAAGACCAGCTACGAGTCTATGACACACTCAAGCGAGAGAAAACAACGCATCACCTCATCCTCCTGCCTCTGATCATTTGCGGCCGCCTCCTCCTCGGTCAGCTCCACCTCCTCCCCACCAAACCCGACCAGCTCCTGCAGCTTCCTTACAGCCTCCTCCTCAAGGCTCCCACCCAATTCATCCCTCCCAGATGAAGAAGCTTCCAGCGGCGGCTGAGACGACGGCGGAAGCTCCACCGGAGCATCCTCGGCGGTGGGGCAGGCGGAGACGTCGAGGCGCCCTACGGCCTCGGCGGCGGCGTCGACGGCCTCGCCGCCGCCGCCGTCGTGGGGGATCTCGGAGACGGGGTTAGGGTTTTGAGAGGCGGGCTTCGGGCCGGGCCTTGGGCCTCCCTTCCCCCTGGACGACTTCCGAGGCATCGCGGCGGAGCAGAACAGCTTCGGGGCGTGGGGGGATGGCCGGACGGGAGGATGCGTCGGCGGCGCGCGAGTCGGACCGGAGTACGCGGCCGTGGAATAGTAGCTACTAATAGCTCTGTAAGGTGTCTTTGCGGCGGCGGCGGCGGCGGCGACGCGGCGTGATTTTGGCGGCGAGGCGTGAGGCGGTGGTGGGGTGGTGTCCGGTGGATGCCCGGCCGATGGGCACGAGTATCGGGCCGCGTGATGAGCAGATTCGGAGAGGCTTCGGTTTGGGTTGGGCCTTCGTGGAAATGTGTGGACTGTTCGTCCTTATTGTGCCGTGGAATTTTCAGATATCAAAAAAAAATCAAGGAAACTATTTTTTAAAAAAATAATAATAAATCTAAAAAGGTTGCGATTCCTATTCGAATTCTGAAACACTGAACAGAAGTTCTCTAACTTCCATATATTGGGGACCAATCCTCAGTACTGAAACTTGCATCTCATTTCAGTTTTTTAACTATAAATTGTCATGAAAGTTAAGACTTTCAACTTGAAGATTCCAATTTTGAACTCAAAATTTATATGTCAGCCTATTGGAACTATAATATTTGTAAATTAAGTTGGTTAACCATTTAAGATTCGCCGCATACCAATCCCCTTCAAGTATACAGTACATCCTAGTATGGTCAACCGTCAACCTACCTTCTGCTCATCTGCTGGCTCTGCAATGACAAAACTTATTAAACGCTATTGGTACTAGAATGCAGATTGATTGATTGCCAACACATGCGGGGAAACGCTACCATCAGGTGATGCAAACGAAGCAGTCATCAGATCAGGTGCGTAGGGCTGTGTTTAGTTCACACTGAAGTTTGGAAGTTTGGTTAAAATTGGAACGATGTGATTGAAATGTTGTGTATATATGAAAGGTTTGATGTAATGGAAAGTTGGAAGTTTAAAAAAAACTTTGGAACTAAACAGGGCCTAGATTACTCTTCAATGGGGAGTTTGTGTTTTTGTTCTTTCAGGTCGGCATTCTGAACATTCGAAGCTCGCGGGGTCCCAGCTATTTTTTTGAACTAGTAACCGAACGCTTGGTCAAGAAAGGATGAACATTGGGAGGCTGAGTCGTCGGAGAAAGAGAAAAAAAATGCTGCAACGACCGAGAAATTCCCTTATAATCCGGTCCGCTCAACGATAATCGAACAGTCTAGGATCGCAAGCAAATACAATTTTTTGACGCTGACAAGAACGGCTGTAGCCCTCTTCTTATCATGCAATTCTAAATGTTTCCTCAATTCCTCGTCTTTGCAACATACAAACAAAGCAAGAATTTTCACAGCCTGGGAGGCTGGGACAATGGTGTTAGATGAAAAAAATAAAAATAAAAAAATGATTAAATTGATTTTGAATTAAGGAGGTAGTGGGGCTCGAACCCGGACCGGCTAGCCAGGAAGACCCTGGGCCTTTCTCACAATGGTGTTAGATGAGAAAATTCAGTATTTGCGGAGTACTCTTTTCAGGCAAACCGTTGAGTGATCCAATTTGCAGACAGTACATTTTCCCCCTTTTTTTTGTCATAGTAGTATGTAGATATTTCTTTTTGCAATTGCACGACATAGACATGCATTGGATGTGTGCTCTCGGTGAAAACTTAATGAAGCAAGCGCAACGACGAAACTATGAGTCCATTTATTACTCTCGAATTCTCGATACATTTGCCATGAGATGATCCCAGGTGTTGGCCTGATCTTAACTTCTGCAGTAACAATGGCTAGAAGGTCTCTTCATCTGAAGTCTGCCTTGGAACCTGTTCAGGCTCGGCGCTGCTCCTCTGTTCCCTCATATACTTCGTGACGGCCTCAGCAGTAGCAGCTAAACCACCGGTGCTGACAGAGGATGCCTTGCTTGCGTCCTCAGCTTCGAATTTAATGGTCGATCGTAGTACAGAAGAGTTTTCTGTTTTTCCGATGATCTCTATTCGCACGACATATTTCTTAAAGCCTTGATCTAGAAAACCACCTTCTATTACTTCTGCCTCCTTGATGTAGTTCTCATTGTCAATCTTGATGAACTTTTCTTTCATGAATTCTCCCCTATGTGCCCCTAGCAATACAAACAGCCGAACAAAACTTGAGAGCCATACCTCCCAGCACGCAAAATGATATGATGAATCAGCACATAATTAATTACACGTCTAGCTAAAATAAAACTTAAAATGGATTTTAATATATTTTTCCTGTAGAAAAATTTTATAAAAAACATTCCGTTGAAACAAGGAAGAGAAGTTAGGAACATGAAAATAAAAACACAAAGTCAAGAGGCCCAAAAGAAACAAACAGATTTTGATTAAAAAAACTTTGCTAAACTGAGGTGTATTTGTGTTCGGTTCGATCAGGTTCTAACCAGGAGCGAAGACGACATGCAGGACAGACCCAACGCCACCGTCTCCCTCAACGAGCTCAACCTTGGAAAATACTTCAGGAACCAGCTGAGGGAGCAGCTGCGCAACAAGGAAGCCGCCATAGACCTCCCACACCTCGGCAGCGGGGAGCCCAGTCTCCAGCTCGTGGCAGACGCTCCCTTTCATCGCCTCCTGTGCTCACGATTTGAGTGAACGATCAGACTCTATCTTGCCATGTTCAAGGTACGCCGTACGTGCAAGGACTGTAACCCGTTGGTCTAATCTACCACTGAACAGGTCTATATGTAGATTTATAATATTAGGTAGTGCCTAATCAAATACTGAGATGTTTTGAGATCGATGGAGTAAAGACCTCATGAACCCTCTGAGTTCGTCAGGAGGAGATGGGAACAAATCTCGTGCACATGAAAAACGGAGCGATCCATTAGCGCGTGATTAATTGAGTATTAGCTATTTTTTTTAAAAAAAGGATCAATATGATTTTTTAAGCAACTTTCGTATAGAAACTTTTTTGTAAAAAACGCACTGTTTAGCAGTTTGAAAAGCGTGAGTACGTAATACAAGGGAGAGGTGTTGGAAACACTGGCTGCCAAACACGAGAAAATTGCAATATTGGGACTGCAAACATAAGGGCTTCGTTGTTTTGACACTCCGAGTGGATGACAAATGGGTCCATCTATGTCTACGAAATATGGGTCCAATGTCATTATAGTAAAGGTTAATATTTGCAGTGTCATAATTGCAAATCCCCCGCCAAACACAGCCTTAGTCCCTTTTAGAATATGTTTTGAAAAACAAGAGATAACAATGATTAACAACACCTCGAGCTAAAGAATATAATGTTGCTTAGCAAGTGGTTATACAAGTTACTCACCTAGATGGAATGTGGTAGCAGATGCTACATAATAAATATTCGAGATAATAACCTTAGCTAAGGCTTATTGGAAAGCGGGGGACTCACATTTTTGCAAAAATCATGTTTGGAAACCGAAGAAAATCATGTTTGGTTCCTTTCATATTAGGGACGGCTCCCAAATAAGGTTTTGGGAAGGTAAGTGGTTAGGTAATCCCTCATTTGGATATCAATATCCTGGTCTCTATAATATATTTAGGCATAAACAGTCAATTATCCCACATATCTTTCAAACAAACCCACAAAAATTTTCATGGAGACAGGATTTAATTGGAGCACAATCAGCTGCATGACATAACTTATTGCCTCGTAGAGCTGATTTGGTTTCGATACAGGAGCAAGATAAAATTCACTGGAACCTCACTCCAATAGGGTCTCCTCGATCAAATCTCACTACTTAGTTCTTGTTCACACGGGCATCCTGAATATCAATAGACGTATTTGGAAGATAAAAGTATTGCTAAAAGCTAAGATTTTCCTTTGGTACTTACGCCAAGATGTAATTCTCACCAAGGATAACCTAGCTAAGCGAAAAAGAAAAGTTAGTAAGAAGTGTTGCTTTTGTCATAAGGACGAAACCATCCAACATTTGTTCTTCCAATGTCACTTATCTCGTTCGGTGTAATCTGTTATTCATATGGCTTATAATTTACAACCTTCTCGAAATGTTACTCATATGTTTGGGCGTTGGCTTTTATATGCTCCAAAAAACATGAGAAAATTGTTTTTGATTGGTGCATTAGCTCTTTGTTGATCTATTGGGTAAGCATAAATGGGGTTATTTTTATAATAAAATGGTGTTTTCTCCTTTACGGGTTATTACTTTAGTTACCTGGTGACTATACACTTGGGCTATCCATAGCCACTAATTTTGTTCCAATCACACTCTTGTGCTTGGGATGGGATTTTAGATGGTTTCTTTTTTATTGTGTGCATTTCATATAGAGATTAGCGGTGAGCTCTGTTAGATTGTAGTATCTTGGTTTGACTGAGTCTTAATAAAACTTTAATTATATAAAAAAGGAATAATGATTAACACACGTACTGCGCAGTATCACACGATGGTTTTACAAGCAAGCGCGACAACGAAACTGTGCGTCCATTTATTACTCTCGATACTTTGTTAGCTTGAGATAATCTCAGGTGTTGGCCTGAGCTACTTTCTGCGTCTTGATATACTCTGCAAATTTTTCAGCGGTCGCAGCCAATGATGCGGTACTAACCATGGCTTGGAGCTCTGGATGCTCATCACCGATCTCATACTCGATAGTCGATCTTATAACCGAAGTGTTGGCCCCTTTCCGAATGATCTCGAACCGGATCATGTACGAGAGGAAGCCCAGCTTCAGGATGTCGCCTTCCACCGCCTCTGCCTCCTTAACGTAATTCTTGTTGTCAACTTTGATGAATTTCTCCTTGTAGCTCTGCAATCCAGGAATTCCTAACAAGTGGCAGAACAAGCAAGGATACTCATCAGCAATCAAGATTCAGGACTTTTTTTTCTTAAAAAACGAACATACCAGCTGATGGTGCGAGTCACATATCAATATAGCTAAAAAGAATACAAGATTATAACTCTGAAAGGTTATAATCAGATTTAAAAAAACAAAAACACACCCACAACCTAATGACTCTAAACTCATACTCCGAGAAAAACTACTCCCTTCGTTTCATATTATAAGTCGTTTGATTTTTTTTCTTAGTTAAAATTATTTAAGTTTAACTAAATTTATAGAAAAATATAGTAACATTTTCAAACTCTATCAACATATGTTGATCACCGCTAACCCCAACAGGGCACAGACACACCGCCCTAAACTGCAGACACCCTACAGTCTCACCTGGAGGAAAAGTCAGTCGCACGATGGTGCCGACGCCGCCGTCGCCGGTGACGAGCTCGACCTTGGCGAGGATGTGGGGGAGCAGCTCGGGCAGCAGCTCGGCGGCGCGGAGCGTGCCGTAGATCTTCCACAGCTCGGACGCCGGGACGTCGGTCTCCAGCTCGTGGCTCTGGCTTCCTCTCATCGCTCTGCCTCTCTCACCTGTGCTTCTTCAGAAATTCTCTGAACTGTCCGACGACCACCTAGCTATCGACCAAGCGTTAATATAGGCGACGCGGTCGAGAAGAGCCAAGCTTAATTTGTTTAGTTGGAATCCACAAGACTGAGATGCTATGTATGGAAAGAATGAGACGTGCTGTTGTTCAATCCACAAGAATGAGATGCTATGTATGGAAAGAATGAGACGTGTTGTTGTTCTTGTCTGGAGCTTTGGGATCTCCTCCGGACCTCAGAATCGTTTTGTCTGAAGAAATAAAATCATTTTGCAGGCCTGAAATGCCAGCACTTTGGTGCCGTCCGTTGCAACTTGGCAAGTACCTATGTTGCTGTTGGGTAGTGACGAGAGCGATGAATAATCCATGATTGATTTTGCTTTGGGTTATTCAAGTGCCTGATCCGTCCTCCCTCTCCACTTATTAATCTGAAATACAGATGCTTTGCTTCGTGCTATCATATGCAGATATACCATGCGTCGATGTCGTTAAGCTGGAGTTTATAAAAAAAAACACTTGATTTATTCGCTGGGGGAAGATTTGTGTCTTCTTTCAAAGATTTGGTCTAGCAAACCTAGCGGTCGGAATTCAAAGTGCTCTCAGTGGCTTCTCTAATTGGAGACATAACGAAATCCTAAACGCTAGGGACCAAATTCCTTCGTTTTCTCGCTTTTGTCCCGTTTCCTTTATAAAATTTTTAAAACCTGTACTACGGTATCTCATGACTCATGAGGTGTACTAACACCACAAACTTCGCTGCATTCCCTTTTGTCGCGTACTATAAGATGATCAGACCGATGACAACGACGACTGCAGATGAACGGAACAGCAGCCAAATCAATCGTTCTACCTATAACTAACTGTAAACCATAACGCTTATCTATCTATCTATCTATCTATTATATTATTAAAACAGGCTTGAAAGAAGTCACCACGTTCGCTGTGGGGGTTAGAAATTCCCACATTAATCGGAGAAAAAGAAAAAAAGAGTTCAAATAGAAATACAATCTAAAAATAGTTGAGATTCGGAATTAAAAATAAGCAATATTGAAAGAGTAGTCCATATAGGAACCCAATACAAGATTAATCAAAATTTAGAATAAAAATAAAATAAAATCCAAAATTAGAAAAAAAAAGAAAAGTCCAAGTAGGAATACAATTTAAAAATAATTGAAATTCGGAATTAAAAAATAAGGAATATTGAAAAAAAAAGTCCATACATAGATTAATTAAAATTCAGAATAAAAATAAAAAAAATTCTGAAATTAGAAAATATAAACGAGAGTTTATGTAGAAATACAATTTAAGAGTAATTCAAATTCGGAATAAAAAATAAGCAATATTGAAAGAAGAGTCCATATAGAATCGAATATAAGATTAATTAAATTTCAGAATAAAAAAACTAAATTCTGAAATAAAAAAAGAAGAAAAAATAAGAGTTCATATAGGAATACAATTTTATAATAACTAAAATTTGGAATAAAAAATAAGAAATATCGAACGAAAATACCATCTAGAACACAATACGAGTTAACTTAAAATTTGGAATAAAAAATAAATTAAACTCCGAAAATATAAAAATAATTATAGGAGTTCAAGTAGAAATACAATTTATAAATAACATAATAACGGAATAAAAAATATGAAATATTAAAAAAAACACAATCTATCTAGAAGCACAACGATGACAAATGATAATAAAAAGGAGAGAAGCAATAGAGCCGTAAAGGAGTAGGGTGACAACGGTTAATGGGGCATTAAAAAAATATAAACAAAGCCCCAAATAGAATCCCAACGACGATTAAGAGGATGGACGACGGAAACGTAGTTAAAACAACACGATCACAATGATTGGCAGCACTTCTAGAAAGTAAAAATATAAACAGCAATAATAATCACGTTCAATTTTTAAAATCTCAATGATAATAAAGAGGGAAGGCAGCAAGCGTAAAGCTATAAACAAAACCCTAAATAGAATCCCAATGACGATTAAAAGGAGAGATGACGGGCAGCATGTTAAGCAGCACAATCACGGTGGTTGGTGGGACTTCTAGAAAATAAAAAAATAAACCACAATCATAATCACGTTTAATTTTTAATATCTCAATGATGATTAAAAGGAAAAGCATCGGGTAGACCGTAGAGGAATATAATGGCAATGCCGCTGACGATAATTATGTTCGATTTTTAAAATCCTAATGACAATAAATAGATGAGGCAGCGGACGGGACGTAGAGGAGTAAAGTGGCAGCGTTTGACGAGACTTCTAACAATTATAAAAATGAAAGCCAACTAGATAATTAACTCCAAAATTTATAAGGTCTAATCTTAAAGTTCCAAGGAGATGAATAGAAGCCGTAGTAGATCGAGTAAAAAAATAAAGGGGTGACAAAGAAAGAAGTAAGAAGTAGCGACTGACGTGACTTTTAAAAATAATAAAATTAGAAACATGAAGATGATAAGGTTCAGTCTTTAAAAGTCCTAAGATAACGAGATACCTATTTAAGAAATTTTAAGTACACTCATATGTTAAAAAAAAAGATAGTTTTGTATGGATACTAGCCGCGTAATTGCGCGGGCCATCCAGCTTGTTAGTAATAAAAAATAACTTAAGAAAAAAATTACATGTTATAAGTACATTTCTTAAAAAAAAAATTACTATTGAAATATTAAAATGAGTTTTAAAATTAAGATTAAAAATTTAAATTTTAGACACGATGATGTAGCGCCATCTGATATGACGAGGATGGCCACGGCCCATGACTCCATGGGCCATGAGGGAGGCGTGCGTGAGATCGAGATCTGGCCCGTCTATCTACTGGGCTCGCACGAGCACGGCGCGGCACCACCCCAGTCGCACGCGGACTGGGCTGAGAATTCATGGGCCGGGTACCTGCGTAACTAGGCCAATCCGCTGATCTGAAACGGGCCAAGACCCATGGCCCATGAGAACTCCGCGACGAGACGAGCCGTGGAGGCGTGGAGGCAGAGGCCTCTGCTGAGCTTGACCACCGTACTACTGCCGTGCGCTTGGAAACCCAATCAGTCAAGCCTGAAAAAAAAAATCAGTCAAGCCAGTATAACTGCTCTCTTTCTTTTCTTCAAAATGCCAAGCTTGAAATAGTTGTTTCAGCAGGTTTTTTCTAAGCAGGCATAATTATTGCATATTCAGCGTACTCTTCACCAAATTCGCGACCCACCGAATCATTTTCTGAAGCCTCAAGCCGCCCTCTGCAGGACTTATCACTAAATCATAAAAAAAAAACAGTATTATGAACGAAGCATAATAGTGCCATGACTGCACATGTGACATGTACGTGTAGTTAGTTACTTGTCGCAGGAGACCAAAACGTAGACGCAATTTGAATAAGATTATTGGCAGCCATGCAATGCATTATACAAACGGTAGTCCTCGGAGTGACGTCACAGAATTGACACTCGGAAGGTTCATCTTCATCATATCAGATTATCAGTCCTAATATTTGGGGCTGCCTTGCCTGCTTGTGACACACTGGCAGCAGATGATGATAATACGCTAATAGCTAGGCAACATGAAATCAATTGTTCTCTAATCTTATAAACAAGTACATTAGTCAATATTCAAATAAGTAGGTTTCCTCGAAAATATGGAAAAAAGGCGTACTTGCTCTGTCAGAGATTTAGGTGATTGTTTGGATCAACAGCTAACCTTTTTGATTTATCTGTATTTATTTATTTATGCGAGGAGACAGCCGTGTGATTAGTCCGCGACGTCAGGATGGATGGCTCCGGATTCTTGCAGCTGGTCTCTTCTGAAAATTCAGAGATCACGCATGTTTTATGGGGATTATTATACTTATAGACACATATATATCTCCAGTTTTTATATAGTGTAGCCACTTGTTACCTGCCCTGCGACAATATATAGTAACTGATGTGTGTGTGTGTGCAGTCTCCGTGCGTGTGAACCGTAGCATGCAAGATATATCGTCTCTTACGTCGATAGATCTCCCCAGCGCCACCTGCTCTCTTTGACTTGCAAACAACATTCAGACACCAAATCAGTAGCGAAAACGAAAACGAAAAATAAAATAACAACAGAATAAACGCAAGTTTCAACTGCATGTCAAGTCTCCTTTCTCGCGCGTGCTTGTCATGCACGACGTAGTACATGTACATGCCATGGCTATATAGCTTCATTTACAACCTAGTACGTATACACCTCAATCCATTATAAATAGCAACTACAGGGTCTTGTTCCCTTTGTGCTCTTCGTCTTGTCAGCGATCGCCATCTTCAGCTAGGTTAATTAGTAGGTGCAAGTTTTAGCAAATTTAATCAGGGATCGATCGATATGGGGAGGTCGCCGTGCTGCTGCCACGACGCCGGGGTGAAGAAAGGGCCGTGGACGGAGGAGGAGGACAGGGCGCTGGTGGAGCACATCAAGAAGCAGGGCGGGCACGTCGGAAGCTGGCGCGGCCTTCCCCGGGCGGCGGGGCTCAACCGCTGCGGCAAGAGCTGCCGCCTCCGCTGGACCAACTACCTCCGCCCCGACATCCGCCGCGGCAACTTCTCCGACGACGAGGAGCGCCTCATCATCCGCCTGCACGCCGCCCTCGGCAACAAGTGCGTAACGACTACACTTGCTTTTCCAACGACGATATGTCTAGTTTCATACATACATACATACATATATATATATAGAGAGAAAGTTTTACGTTACGAAACGGAAGAAGTACTTGCTTTTCCGACGACGATCGATCGAGTATCGAAGTGTAAACGTCTTATGATTTTTGTGTTAATTAATTAGGTGGTCGACGATCGCGACGCACCTGGACGGGAGGACGGACAACGAGATCAAGAACTACTGGAACACGCACATCAAGAAGAAGCTGCTGCGAATGGGCATCGACCCCGTCACCCACCAGCGCCTGCCACCCGACCTCCTCGCCGACGGCGGCGGCCTCGGCGCCGCCTCCCCTCTCCTCTCGCCGCCGGGGCCGGCGGCGGCGGCGGCGCTCCAGCCTCTCCTCTCGGCGGTGGCGAGCCTCGGGAGCCTCGACACCGCGCTGAGGCAGTTCCAGCTGCTGCAGCACCTGCTGAATTCCATCACCTCCTCTAGCAGCGACGTCGCTGCGACTGCTGGTCTCATGGCCACCAACCTAGCTGCAACAAACACCATGGTGAACTCGAGCAGCAACGTCGCAAGCTTCCAGGAGCAGATGAACGCATTGGCACATGCAAACTACCAGCCAGGTTATCTCCGTGATGTCGTCCCAAGCTTTCCAGGGCAAGACATGGCGCCGCAACTGAACAGTACTAGCAGTACACCTAGTACGGCTCCAGTGCTCAGATCAAGCGCTGAACCGGCTGATCAGTGCTGCAACGATGCTGCATTGGTGCCTGAAACTTATCCACGGGAAGTGGCAGCATCTGTTGATCACTGGAAGGTGCAGGATTTTCCCAGCTTGGAGCCCCTGGAGCTACCAAATCTATCAACTCTGGAGAGTGATCTTGATCCGTTCTGGAAAGAGATACTAGAAAGCAGCTTCCGTTCATAAAATTCGTCTCAGTCGATCGGGTATTATGATATGAAATGTTTGGTAGTGAGATGTACAAAATCTAAACACGTCTTAATTAGCTTCTTTTTAAATTATCATCAGCAGATCATTGACTGTTGTCGGAGTTCGGACTTCTGACATCATTAATTGATCGCTGTGTATTGAGATTTTGATTTTTGTAATCGCAAAATACAGATTAATCTGGATTTGATTAATGGAGTTCAATCATTGGGTTAGATTCGATATTCCGTCCCTATTGAAATATTTCCGTGGCATCGACCTTCTGAAAGTTTGACCACGTAGATTATGCTAGTATGCCATTATATTTTGATTTGTTAAATAAGAACGGATAGCTAATATGTGTTTGAACTGGTTTGATTTGTCATTCCGAAATTTTGCAATATAAATTTATATAAAATAATATAAAACTAATTTGGCGTTATATATGTTACATATTTTTTTCTCTAAACTTGAAAAACTTAAAGAAATTTAACTAGAAAAAAACTCAAAGCTTGTATATAATATAAAATGGAGAAAGTACTGTACCAGTGTCCTTCATAACAAGACCCTAAATCTAGCTATTTGTCATGACCAATCAACACAGCGAGGATTCCAATGATTAAATAAATCTTAGAAAATTGTTGTGTTAGATTGTTAGAGTTTGTGCTGAGCATATGTACAAACTTAGTTCGTTACAAATTAAAATAGAAGTTGAAATTGTAATAGGACTCTTATCCTAGCTAGATTTTTTCTTAAATAAGGAGCCACACCTAACATAATCTTATGGCAACTGTAGCATTTACGAGGGAATGACTGTTCTGTAGCCTAACCAGTCGAGAGTCCTTGCCCTTGTTGCACAAAGCCGATTGCAAGATGAATATCTTTTGTTTCTGGAAATGAGCAATACATGTTGTTTTGGCTGATGAACATCCAAATAAAACCATTCAAAAAGTTGAAATAAAAATGCTTGTTTCCGATGTTAAAAATGCTAGTTAATTATACTGTTCATGGCAATGTGATCATGGCATAATAATGCCTCTATCAACAGTGCAATACCATAATTACCTCGAACAACTTGATTAGTTGGAGTAGGAAGTTGCTTTGTATGGGTGAATAAGATGGAGGTGAAGGTGACGGCCTTCTAGAGTCGATATAGATCAAATCGATCTCTGCATAAACAGCGTACACGATCTCCAGCAACAGCTAGGATTACACTCCGTATTAAAAACATCTTAAAAGAGCCAATTGCAATATACACAGGTTGGCATTTTGGAAAATGGGCACTTTTATATCAATCATTTTTGCAATATCTAATTAAAAACCACTCAATTACACGTTGAAAAAAGGCTTATATATTGTTGAAAACGCTAGTAATGTTATTGTCCATGACTGTGTGAAAATGAGCCTGTCAACTATGCAATAACAGTACACCATATTAATTATCTCCCTCAAACATCTTGATTAGTTGGAGTAGGAAGTTGCTATGTGGGGGTGAAGAAAATGAAGGTGAAGTTGACAGACTTCTCTGAAGAAACAGCTTACGGTACTCGGATCATGTACGTATATATTGCTTAGATCGAGTACTTGTACCGCTATTTCTACTCCAGTGACGACCTCAACAATGACATGGCGTGCTGATCGAACCCCACATTGACAGCAAAAGGCTCAGGATTGGTTAGCAATTAGGTAAGTAAAAGGTTTGCCCGAGGTTTGAAGCCATTGACTGAATGTACGTCCCAAAACAAAACATGGAAGATGTGAGTTAAATCCGAGTGATCATTGAGTCATTCTGATTAATTGTAGACTTTTTAGAGTTTTTGGGAAAGTCCTTCACGATGCCGTTTCAAAAGGATAGGGACTATATATACAATTTTTTAAGCAGAAGGCTAAACGAACTCTCTTGACTTTTGCCCTGTTGTGCGAATTGCATGTCAGTTTATCTTATCCATGCACGAAAGTTTCTCAGAGCTGAAGAAGAAATGCTTCTGAATAATTATGATCTCGTCAGACTTTTGTGTCTTCCTTTTTATTTTACAAGTGGAGTGGTCGAAATCAGTGATGTATATGATTATATGAAGATCCAATTAGCGTCCATACGTAACATAGATTAAGTCGACATATTAATTAAGTGATGAAGAGTGAAGTTAATTACATCAAATTCAGTATATATATATACTTAATTCACTAGATCCACCATTTGGGTTAAGCATGGCCATACCTGAATATGAAGTTTCATAGTATTGAAAATCTATCTACCTGACTAGTATCTCCCAATTTCCGTATCTGTAGTGATACTATATATAGTACAATAATACGTACGTACATCATCCATGCACGTCGTTTGTACGCATGCGTGTACAAATTAATGATGGCATGACAGTGACACAACTATAACCGGACCGAGTCCACTTGTGAAAGATCGTTGCTGTCTGCTCATATATTATGTACTACTACTTGCTCGTCCAACAAGACCACTGAAACTGCGAGCTAAAGGCCATATGCTTATGAACACGACCGAACGGAGAAGATTCTACTGGAAACGGTAGCCTCTCTCTCAGCCTGCCACGATGTACGTGTAGCTGTGCCAATCATCCAGCCCATTTTTTCACCGGTCAGTACACAATTATTATAACTACTACTATAGAGGCCGAGTTTAGTTCCAAACTACTTTTTTTCAAACTTCAAACTTTTCCATGTTCTATCACATCAAAACTTTTCACACATACAAACTTCCAATTTTTCCGTCACATCGTTCCAATTTCAACAAAGCTTTCAATTTTAGCGTGAGCTAAACACACTCATACTCCATCCGTATCCGGTTATAAAACGTTTTGACTTTGGTCAAAATCAAACTATTTTAAGTTTGACTAAGTTTATAGACAAACGTAGTAATTTTATAACACTAAATTAGTTTCATCAAATCAATAATGGAATATATTTTTATAATAAATTTGTCTTGGATTGAAAATATTAATATTTTTTTTTTACAAATTTAATCAAACTTAAAAGCAATTTGAAACGGAGGGAGTAGTACTTTACATTTTTCACAGTGGCTTGACTGATCAGTTCGTGCGTGAAGGGGAGCCGCATCCGGGCGTCGTTTTCCGGTCGTTAGCGCGCGCAAAGGCGGTCGCTTTGCTCACCGCATCGCCGCTGAAAAACCCGTCGGTGCGTGACGCCCGCAACGGCGACACGGCCTCGCCGGCGAGAGAGATTTTCAAGCCGCGTTTACCAAAGCGACGCCGACGTGCAAACCAAACCACTAGTACTAACAAAGCTAGCCCCACATATACCGGATGTCGGAGGATGCCTGGCTATGTTTATGTATGGGTTTGTTCAGAGAAAGAATGTTTTAAGAAATGGCCACCGTTTTTCCGGCCGTCAGGTGAGGTCAGGTCTCGTGCTGCGACTTGGTAGTATCTGAGATTCGATGTTTATGCATGAGTAGAAATCTGACCACTAGTGCTGCTACTTGCCACCAGCGAAATTAATGAGACAGACTGAAGGATCGAGTTCGATCGATTATTCCTACGAAATTAAGATGCTTAATTTGTTAGGTTTCACGTACGTACGAGAGAGCGGCGGGTCGCCGGCACGCCTCTCTATCAGTCACGCGCGCTGTCGCACTCGCACGTCACACCTGAAAATTGCTCGCTTTTTTTTTTCTGCAGCCTCAACGCTCACCAAAGATTAGGGGCCCTTTCAATCAAAAACTTTCAAGTAAAACCACCACGTAAAAGCTACTGCATGATCAGTCGCCATCCCAGCGAAAACGGTGCCAATCCAGGCGAAACAGTGCAAAACGAAGGCCTTGGTTTAGTTCTCAATTTGTTTTCCCAAAAACATCACATCGAATCTTTAGACACATGTATGAAGTATTAAATATATATTAAAACAAAAACTAATTGTACAATTTGCATGAAAATCGAGAGACGAATCTTTTGAGTCTAATTAGTCCATAATTAGCCATAAGTGCTACAGTAACCCACATGTGCTAATGACGGCTTAATTAGGTTCAAAAGATTCATCTTGTGATTTCCAGGCGAGTTATGAAATAAGTTTTTTCATTCGTATCTGAGAACTCATTTCCAACATCCGGTTAAACATCCGATGTATCACACAGAATTTTTCTTTTTTCGCGAACTAAACAGGGCGGAAATGTGAAGCGTCCTCTTCGCCAGGATCTAGGCGGATCGGATGCAGAAAGGAAGGGAAAGGAAAGCGTTCTCACGATTCAACGGCGGCGCGGCAGTCCGGCCATGCCGCCGGCGCCGGCGCCGGCACGGCCCGGTGGATGACATAGGCTGAAGGCCCATCTAAATAAAGTTTGCATGTAGGAAAAAGTACACCGAAGGTCCCTCAACTTGTCATCGAGATACAAAATCGTCTCCCAACCACAAAACCAGATATGTGACATCCCTCAACTTACAAGACCGTTTATTCTAGCTCCTTCGGTGATTTTGACCCTGGTTTTGTCCGACGTGACGGCTGAGTCAGCGCGGGACCCGTGTGGGCTCCACATGTCAGACTGTCCAAGTCAGCTTTCTCTTTCCCTCTTCTCTCACTTCCTCCTCCTCTCTCTCTTCTCTCTTAGCATGGCGTGCGACGGGTGGGGAGGAGACCGCGCCGCTCGCCCACGCCGCCCGCGCCGCTCGCACTCGCCGGCCGAGTCCCGGCCGTGCCGCTCGCCCTAGCCAGCGCCATGTCAACTTTCAGCTGTCGGCGAGTTTGCCGAGATGAGCGGCGGCTGGCCCTCTGCAGCACGGGGCCATCTCTCTACCGCCGGATGCACTCAGGGACAACACCCCCGCTGCCCCTGCCGTCGGCAAGCTCGGCCGCGCGCCCGTCGGCGGCCGGCGCGGTTGGGCTCCATGCCACGGGAAGCTCGACCATCACCATGGCCCCGGCACATCGCCACACGGCTTGCTGCGCTCTGCGGTCGACACCGGCCGCCATGTTATGGGGCATCTCGTACGTCTTGGTGAAGCAGTTGCCCGGCGTTGAGGAGAAGTCTCCATCTAGCACCACGGTGATTCCATTAATGCTCATTCGCACACGTTGCATCCCCAGCTCCATCCCCTCCAGTCTCTGCATGGCCTATGCCAAGGCGGCAAGGCCGTTGCCGACAAGCTCCTTTGCCGCTGAAGAAACCCACCACAACCGTGATGCCGCTCCCGCAGCTCGACGGCCACGACCTCGCGCCGACGTCGTGGTCGTCGGAGGTCAGCAAGGCCCTGGAGGACATCAAGCCTACGCTCAACTCCAACACGACGGAGAACGCCAAGAGCCCGCATGGCAGGCGGTGGAGACGTGGCGCCGAGGTCGTGTCGGCGGCAGGAGGATCCCCCGTCGTCGTGGACGGCGGAGAGGAGGCCGACGCGATGGCGGTGGGAGCACGCGGATAGGAGGCCAGCGCAACGGGCAGCCTTTGGCGGCCGGCTGCCGGTAGGGGGGAGCACAGTGGAGAGGAGGCCAGTGCGACGGGCGGCGGCCGGTGGCCGGCGAGGGAGGAGCGCGGCTGAGAGGAGGACTGGCGCAACGGGTGGCAGTCAGCGACACGGAGCACGACGCCACGACGACGACTCGGGGTCCCTCCCGTCGTCCCTATCCCAGCCGCCGCTCGCCCCGGCCCTGCTGCCGCTCGGACTGCCGCCGTACTTAGCCGCTCGCCCTGCCGCCGGAGTTGGGCTGAGACGGGGCGCCAACAGCAGTCGTCGCCGCGCTCGCCCGCCGCCACCGCGCTCGCCTGCCACCGCCACTGCCACCATGAACTGGCTCAAGCTCGGTTGACCGCCGGCCGCCGTCGCGGCGCCGTCCTCCTCCTCTCCCGCTTCGCCTCGTTGACGCCCGCGCCTTCCCGCCACCCGCGACGCCCGCGCCTCCCCGTCGACGCCCGCGCACGGCCGCTGCACGCCCACGCCGTGGAGCTCCGCCGGGCTGCCGCTGTCGCCGCCGCCGACCGCCGTCGCGGCGCCGTCCTCCTCTCCCGCCTCGCCCTGCCCAGCGACCGCCCTGCACACACAGAGAGAGAGAGAGAGAGAGAGAGGAGGAACCGAGGAAGACCGATCGGCCCGCACAGAAGAGAAGAGAGGGAGAGATAGATGACTCAGCCTGACACATGGGGTCCACGTGGGTCCCACGCTAACTCAGCCGCCACATAGGGTAAAACCGGGGTCAAAACCATTAAAGGATCTACTGTGACCGGTTTTAATTAGTTGAGGGACGTCCGGTATCTGGTTTTGCGGTTGGGGGATGATTTCGTAACCGGGAATGCTACATACCGGAATCCCGTCCGAACGGGACCTTTGCTTATTCAAAGAGGAGTAATACCAGACCATGCACGTCCCGAGCAGCAGCAGCAGCCTGTGCAGGACACGGTGCCGCTCCAGCATGCACGCATGGTTGACATGGGCGGCGGCGTTATGGCGCCCATGCCCGCACCGTCGACACACTACCCCGCGCGCGACCGCGAGCTCCTTGCCGGCAGCGCCGGCGCCGGTGCAGGGGAGGAGGAGCCTAGTGCGGACGCAGCGGTAGATGAGGAAGTAGAGCGCAAAGGTGCTGCCCTCGCCGCATCATCGGCGTGGAGCACGACGAGCACGTACTTGGCAAGTATGTTGAGGCGGCGGAGGAAGCGGCCACCGGCGACAAGCTCCGACGTGGCGTGGACAGTGGAGGATGCGGTTGTCAACGACGAGCTCCGGAGTGGGACATGGATGACGAAGGACACGCCCGTCGGTGAAGAGCTCCGTCGTGGGATGTGGATGACGAAGGACACGACCGCCGGCGACGAGCTCTGACGTGGCATCAACAGTGGAGGATGCGGCTGTCGGCGACAAGCTCCGGCATGGAGAGTGGATGACGGAGGACGCAGCCGCTGGCGACGAGCTCCGACGTGGCGCGGGCGGTGGAGGATGTGGCCGCCGGCAACGAGCTTCGGCGTGGGACGTGGACGGTGGGACCATCGGCAATGACGCTTTAGTGCCCGGCTCCTGATATCTGGTAGGTATCGTCTGATACCTCGTAACTATCATCATCTTCTACGTGGTAAGAATCGCATGATATATAATAGGTATCATCTGATACCTCACAAGTATCACCTGATGCGTGGTAGAATCGCATGATACCTGATAGTATCACCCGATACCGGTTAGGTATCAGGACCTGATACCTCACAAGTATCACCCTCTACGTGGTAAAAATCGCATGAAACCTGATAGGTACCATCTGATACCTCACAAATATCACATGATACGTGGTAGAATCACATGATATCTGATAGGTATCACCTGATACCGGTTAGGTATCAGGATGTGATACCTTACAAGTATCACCCTCTACGTGGTAAGAATCGAGATATCATCTGATACCTCGCAAGTATCACCTGATACGTGGTAGAAACATATGATACCGGTTAGGTATATCAGAACCTGATACCTAACTGGTATCATCCCGTTCAAAAACGGGATTCCGTTGTATAGCAGCCCCCTTTCGTAACTCGATGACAAGTTGAGGGATCTTCGGTGTACTTTTTCCTTGCATCTATGGGCTTCTGTTGGGGCCGATCCAGTTGTCGGGCCTCATGAAATCGAAGTCCCATTTCGGCCCAACATATATGGGCCACACGTAAGTACCAATCCCGTTATTGGGCTGCACATAGTTGAACCCGTATAGGTCCAGCTAATATGGGCTAGTCACATAGGATGAATGGCCCAATTGGTGGATCCACATGTCAGCCTACAAGATAGGGCCCACATGTCGGGGACACCCTTTCCCATTTACACCCGCCACCTAGCTTAAACCCATCCTCTGTCTCGCGCCGCCGCCGCCGCCGCAGCAAAACCCTAGCCTCCGCCGCCGTCGTTCCCTCCCGCCGCCTCGCGATGGCTTCGTCGCAGGGCCTCAAGAAGAACTACCGCTGCGACCGCTCGCTGCAGCAGTTCTACACGGGCGGGCCGTTCGCCGTCGGGAGCTCTCCCGGAGGCGGCGAAGGCGAAGTCGAAGGAGGCGAGGCCGAGGCCGAGGCGTTCCTCGCGTGCGCCTGCGGCGGGGAGGTGCGCCTGGTGTCCGCCGCCGACGCGTCCGCCATCGGGGAGCCGATCGAGGGCGAAAACGAGGCCGTCACGGCGCTCGCGCTGTCCCCCGACTCCCGCCTCCTCTTCACCGCGGGGCACAGTAGGCTTATTCGAGTCTGGGACCTCGCGTCCCGCACTTGCACACGCAGCTGGAAGGTAACATCTCTTCTGTGAGAACTCGATGTGTTGTGCACTTATGCGGTGATTTCATGTACTGTCTCCAATTTGAATGATGTGCAAGGGATATGGTGAATTCGCCTTACTTTTAGCAATTTCATTGGAGTCATATTTGCGTCCCTGAAAGTATATTGTTGGCTTAACACTCTGTGCTGTGAACTGTTCATATTGTGCGTTTTTATGATACAATACAAATAAGCACACTAGATAAACCTCACAAACCTCTATTTTTGGATTATATTGTGCATTGCTTTGTTTTTATGAATGTGGAACTTATGTAGTGGTGGGACTGTAATACCTTTCCCCCCACCCTCTCCTCTTACCGAGTCGATCCGAATGATGTGCCTCAATCCATTAGTGAGTGTAATGTTACACATATTAATGACTAAAACGACATGTTATAGTGGTCAGCCAAATTTACTGTCTCCATGTAGATTCAATTAAATGAGAAAAAAATCTGTTCATCAACTGCTTTTTGCAATCATAAGTTCATCAGAAGTGGGGCTTCCCTGATAACTTTTAACTTCTTTTGCCACTCAAAGTAGTTCACTTCAGTAAATTATTAATTTATTATGGCACATTGGCAAGCTTTTCCCGGTATAACATGTGTGATAAGCTTATGTATTTCTTTTATGACTTACAGGGGCACGATGGTCCTATTAGGGCCATGGCCTGCCATGCTTCTGGTGGGTTGCTTGCAACTGCTGGAGCAGACAAAAAGGTGTGCGTTTGGGATGTTGATGGTGGGTTTTGCACACATTTCTTTAGAGGCCACGCAGGTGTTGTGACGACTGTTATGTTCCACAAAGATCCGAAGCGCCTTCTGGTAAGTAGAAGTACGATATGTGAATGTCATCAATGAAAATGCTCTTTGAGCTTGTTAGGCTAAGCCGCTTGATTTCCATAATCAGATGTACTTGGTTTTAATGATATATTTACTCCAGTGTTGTTTATTCAGTATTCACATCTTCATTGTATTCTTCTACTCTTGGTACTATAAAAATTACCCTTGTTTCTTTGTTCTCTAGCTATTTTCTGGAAGTGAAGATGCCACTGTGAGAGTTTGGAACCTTGAAAGCAAAAAGTGTGTCGCTGTGCTGAAAGAGCATTTTTCAGCTGTGACATCATTAGCCTTATCTGAAGATGGACAAACATTGCTTAGTGCTGGGCGGGATAAGGTAAGATTGAGATACTGAATCTCTTCTAATTAATAAAAAAAGCGTTATGTGGCAATGCCTGTCATGTTCCAGCAATACTATAGATGTTGCCTGTGATGCCTCTGTTTCAGTGTTGCATGTTCATATTTTTATTTGCTACCGGAGTTCTAAAATCAGTTGGCGTTGATTGGAACAATCATAAATTACAAGGTTTTTTTTTGTGCTCTTTGAGTGCATCCATGTACATAAAACTACCCAACCGAATGCAAGTTACTCTCTTAATAAATTCCTAGGCTCTATAACACCATGGTAGGTTTTAGCTGTTCGTATTGCCAAGTTTTAATAAAGAACAAATAGGCTAGTATATCATTGTCCTGTTTATTTTTCTAGATGAGTCCTGTTGGCTAGACTTTCAGCATTCTTGATTATATACTCTACTATGTCCTCTCTGTGTGTGTGTGTGTGTGTGTGTGTGTGTGTGTGTTTCTCTCTCTCTCTCTGGAGCTGCATGCAATTTTGAGTATACATGGAACATCTGCAGATTGTGAATGTGTGGGATGTTCGTAAGTACAACTCAAAGAAGACAATACCAGCATTTGAAATGATAGAAGATGTTTCCTTCATTGGACCAGGAAGTAATTTATTGTCTTGTTTGGGTGAACCGGCAAATATAAAACGCAAAACAGATGGTTATTTTCTTACGGTTGGTGAACGTGGAGTAGTTCGCATCTGGTGCTTGGAAAGGTACGTCAGTCGTTGCATTTTCAGTTCAGTGCTATTTTGCTTAGCTCTGGACTGCATGAAATTGATTGCTTCTTGGTCATTCCACAGTGCTCAGTGTATATATGAGCAGCAATCATCCGATGTAACCGTTAACACAGAGAATGAGGAGTCTAGAAGGGGTTTTACTTCTGCTGTTATGTTGTCAGATGATCAAGGACTGCTATGTGCCACTGCCGATCAGCAGTTTTTGTTCTACTGTCCCACGAGAACTGACGGAGGGGACTTCCAGCTGAACTTATATAAACGCCTAGTAGGTTATAATGATGAGATTCTTGATTTGAAGTTTGTTGGGGAGGATGAACAATATCTTGCTGTAGCTACTAACTTGGAGCAGGTGAGTTGCCCCTAAATCTTAGTACAGTTCTTGTGGACATATGTATTTTAGCTTTCTCACACTATTTCCTCCGTATGTAGGTCCGTGTTTATGACGTTGCATCGATGTCATGTTCTTATGTGCTGTCTGGCCACACTGAAATTGTTGTTTGCATCGACACTTGTATTTCTTCTTCTGGGAAGACACTTGTTGTGACTGGGAGCAAAGATAGCACTGTAAGTTGTAGTGGCCTATTCTGACTGAAACTGACATATTTTCCTTTTCTTTTTTTTTGTTTTGTTTTTGCAGTCTTTTCTCGTGTTGCATTTGACTTTTGCATTTCGCAGGTGAGACTCTGGGATATGGAAAGGAGAAGCTGCATTGGTATTGGTAAAGGTCATCTGGGAGCTATTGGTTCCGTTGCATTCTCAAAGAAATCTAAGAATTTTTTTGTTAGTGGAAGCAGGTTAGTTTTCAAGTTATTTCTGTTCCACTTTAGATAATCAGTTCCTCTGATTTTTGTATGCTATGTAATTCTGTTTATCTATTGACCAATCGTTATATTCATTTCCTCCGATTATTCATGTTTCTCTGATGCATCATGTTTATTAGCTACTGACAACTCTTGTGAGACTAGGCTTAGTTCTTTTCTTCAACTCCAAACTTCAACTTCCTCATTTTCCGTTAGCACGCTTTTCAAACTGTTAAATGGTGATTATTTTGCAAAAGAAAATTCTATATGGAAGTTGTTTTTAAAAAATCAAATAAATCTATTTTTCAAGTTTATAATAGTTAATACTTAATTCATTATGTGCTAATGAGCTTTCTCGTTTCGTGTGCGTTGCAAATCTTCCTCTAGAGTCGTGCAAAGAACGCATTAATTCAGATGCCATGTTTTGGTTTGATTCTCCCTGTGCATGAGCATGAGTGGCGAGTGTTATGAGGATATCCAACTTTGCCTTAGTAGCAGAACTATTCATGGACTCCTGAGTATTAGTTTTGAGAATAATAGTACCATTTCTCATGTAATTCTTTCCAGTGTTTTACTGTTGACATTGTTCTAAAATTGAGGTTTTCTTGTTATTAGTGATCGGACCATCAAGATATGGAGCTGGGATGATACACTTGATGATGTTGGCAGTGAAGTTCCTCTCAAAGCAAAAGCTGTTGTAGCTGCACATGACAAAGATATTAATTCTCTTTCTGTCTCGCCTAATGACGGTCTTGTTTGCAGTGGTTCTGAGGTTAGATTGCAGTATGTTATACTTAATGGTCATCGGCTTTTTATTTGGCTTAAATCATCGAACTTGTCATTAGATCTCATTACCTTGCTTCTGCAGGACCGTACTGCATGCATATGGAAACTTCCAAACTTAGTGCCCTCTGTTGTCCTTAAAGGGCATAAAAGGGGCATTTGGTCAGTCGAGTTTTCTCCTGTGGAGCAGTGTGTCATTACATCATCTGGTGACAGAACAGTCAAAATATGGGCTGTTGCTGATGGTTCATGCTTGAAGACATTTGAGGGCCATACATCTAGTGTTTTACGAGCCTCATTCCTTTCACACGGGACCCAATTTGTTTCTTGTGGTAAGAAGAAACAGGACAAATTCTTAAGGTACTTTTCAAGGGAGAAACTTTATTGACACTATTCTTGCGATGTTCCTTGTCGTAGGAAGCGATGGCCTTGTTAAGCTATGGACCATCAAAACAAATGAATGCATTGCTACTTTCGATAAGCATGATGGGAAGGTATGATAGTCTCATCTGCTCTGTTTTTCATTGAAAACCCTAGCAGTATATCAACCTATTATTATCACAATTCCAGTATGTCAATAGTGCAATCTCTTCATTGAGTTGAGAATTATAACACTATCTATTGAAGTTTTTACCAATATTTATAGAATTAGGAACGAACCTATTTGTGCTCAGTCAAGCAGAAAACTGTTGCCATTGTTGTTCATGGCTTATGGCTTTCTGACAATCTAACATTCACTTTGGCTATGCCATGAACTTGCCTTTTCTGATAAATTGGGACCTCTTTTGCTCTAAAATTCCTCTTTGGGAAGAACGTGTAGTTTATGAAATTATTCAGTATGTATTTCAGTACCTGACAAAAACTTTGCAATATCGAGATCATTAATATTTAATAGGCAATGTGGAAGAGATCTTTTCTGGTACATGTTTAAGATGGACTTGGCAATTGATTCAGTCATTCAACAGGTTTGGGCACTGGCTGTTGGCAAGAAAACTGAAATGCTTGCTACTGGCGGAACTGATGCTGTTCTTAACCTTTGGCATGACTGTACCATGGAAGATAAACAGGAAGATTTTCGTAAAAAGGTAAGTGATGTGTTCTATTATACTTTCAGTGCAGTGCTTCTTGAGTTCTTGTAAAGACATAAGAGATGTACTTGTGTCTGTTACTGTGTTGAACACATGGTCTGATGACTGATGTCAATCTAGTAATTAATATCTTTTTTTTTTCTGCCCACCAATCTTTGTGGGTTTAGACTTTTCCCTTGTATTTCCAGATCAGCTACACTTGTTTCTTTTACAAAGGTGGCTCTTGGAATCTATATAGAAATATTTTTATTTAATTTCCACACTTGCAATACTCATTACATTCACCATTGTTGCAGGAGGAGGAACTGTTGAGAGGTCAGGAATTAGAAAATGCAGTATCAGATTATGACTATGCAAAAGCAATACAACTTGCATTTGAGCTTAGAAGACCCCACAGGCTTCTTGAGTTATTCACACAGCTTTGCAGGTACTCATAATCCTTTATTGAAGCTCACTAGTTTTTCTTTGATAACAAATTGATATATCACATGAGTGTGCAGGGAGTCTGATCTGGAGGACCCAATAGAAAAAGCCCTTATTGGTCTTCCAAAGGAAGGGCTTCGCGTACTTCTTGAGTATATCCGGGAATGGAACACAAAACCTAAGCTTTGTCATGTTGCACAGTTTGTGCTTTTTCGGGTATTGAGGAGCTTGCCTCCCACTGATATCCTGGAGGTACTTCCTTTCCCCCTTTCTGAGTTATGTCCAAGAGCCTCATATAACAAACTTTTACTCTTTTTATGACACCATTTGTTTCTGCAGATAAAGGGCATCAGTGAGCTCCTTGAGGGACTTATTCCATATTCACAGAGGCATTTCAGCAGAGTTGATAGACTAGTACGAAGCACATTTTTATTGGATTACACCTTGACCCGGATGTCTGTTGTAGATCCGGACATAGATGAGGGCACAACCAGAGATGACGCAAATGGCTCATCAGTAGAGAATTGTGAAATTGCACAGGCGAAGCCTGATGCATTGGTAGCAGAAGAGAACTTGCAAAAGTCGGTAAAGAAAAGAAAATCAAGCAAATCAAGCAAAAAAGGCGGTAAGAAGGTGAAGATTGCGTCCACGGGGGGCAGTAAGGATGTTCCTATTGAGGCTTAAATAGTTGACAAACCGCAGTTATATGTTATTCGCACCACCAATTTTGTAGCTGCTGTTTTATCTGGTATGTTGCAGCATGAATCACATGTTTTACCTTTTGACCCACTGTACAGAATGCATTCTTTGCTTGAGTTAGAAAGATCTGGTGGCTTTCAGTTCTAAATTTCTAAGTGCTTCAGAAAGTTTTACCGTCCTTGATAGTTGTTGCCATCTTCTGCGTTGGGTACTTGGGTTAGTTTGCCTTGATTAATTTCCATGTGTGTGTATGGCAGTGGCACGGAAGCGGTACCCAGCAGCAAATAAAGTTGCTTGCTCCACTTGTAATTGTTGGATCTGCGATCTGGATGTCGGCTCTCTTCATAATTCCCGTCCTTGTCATCTGGCAGAAATTTTTTATGGTTCGGTGGAATGTTGCAGCTTTTGAGGTGCTCTTGTGTTTCTCGTTTCATTTCTTTACAATAGTGTTCCACACAAGGAGTTCACTGACATGGTTCAGTAATTTATGGAACTGATAGGAACTCATCTTTTCGCTTATCCTTATCAGCCAAAATTTGAATTTTCAACCTTAAATTTAAAGGTGATTTTGATGTTTTTTCATCGAAGTTTATTTTCAGTTTTGCTTTTAGGTCGCTAAAAACACGTATATAAACGTTTTATTCACAAGCTACTTTTCGTTTGTAAATATGCCGTTTTGCTTATTCCAAGATAGGCGAAACAATGGGACCATAGTGTATTTGCTACGCTATTACTCATTCGGTTTGCATGGTATAGTAACTTTGGCTTCTGGCTTGTTACACAGCAGCTATTGTGTTGCTTACCCGCACAAGTGTCTGCTGTTGTTTTGTTGTGAAAATTCTGTGCGAATATGCAGGGTTTTCTAAGAAAAAGATGACTTTTAAGCACATCAGCATCGGAAGGGATATATAGTATTTGGATACCAGTACCAGCCAGCAATCCATGATCCCTGGAATCTGGTAGTGGAATGCTACTCAGGATCAGCCAACAACAATCTAGGGTCACCTACTTCACCTCAAGATATTCCACTCAGGATGCCAACGCCAAATCTCTTCAGAAGTCGCAACGCAGCCAGGACGCATCCTGCAAATATCTCAAATTTATATTTCTGCCTGTCTTGTTCTGGTAAAACGTACACAAAATTGCAAAGAGAAAAGGAGAGTAAATTTGTATGCCATGCAAAAACACCCTGCTCCATGAAGCAACAAAGATCATGTGCCCATTGGACCATCAAGTCTCAAGTCTGAGCTTTGAAAGCTGCCCCTTGTCACTTTGTATAAGGCAATTTGCAAACTTGGAACTTTAACTTGGCAGCTAGTAATCACAGGGGTTGCAAGCTACAAAGCCTGGTCCTAAACACCATGTGAGAACTACATCAGGGCATGCCAAAAAAAAATGCTTACTGTTGAGATCTAGGCCTGGTACACTCCACTCTCCACACAGTCGCACACAAAGGAGAGGAATCGGTTCTGACAAGTACTACAAAATTCCATGTCTGTCTGTGTCCAACGGCTGGTATAATAATGTGCCATTGTATAATCTCAGCAGCAGCTGCAGCAGTACATGTGAGCAAGCAAGCATGGACCATCACCACCTTACTTAAGAAACTGCATTGGATGAGTACTAACTACTCTTCTATAATCAAATGGGCACATTGATGTTGATACTAGAATACAAATTTCGTATCACAAGAAAGATTATTAAGTTATACCAAAACTCGGTGTTCATTTAAAACCGTAGTAGTAGCAGTTTTCAGTTTCACATGGCAATTCTCAGTACATTCATTTAAAGCTAATTAAAACCATAGTACCAGTTTTCATCTTCTTTCTAGATGAAACAGACGTTTTTTCTTTTCTTTTCTATTCCATGCCGACCCCTTGATGTAGCTATCAGCTAAACAAACGGATTTCACGTTTCTGCATTTGGGGAGAGCAGATGCCAGCTGCCACCCTTCAGAAAACAGAGGTGTCGGCTCAACTTTGACAGCATCCCCCGATGATTAAGCTCGTCCACATCGTGGTAATCTAATCTCCAGAACCAATCAAACAAGCTGACCTGTAAACTAATCTTGTTTTTGGTCTGACCACCGGTGATTTTGACCAGACAGAGTTGTGCATGTGCATCACAATTGGGAGTGTTCAGTGTTCAGTAATTAAACAGCAAGGCACACATGAGTTGAACTGTCCCTGAATCAGCTTTTGATGCAGCATTAAACTGATGTGTAGCTTACTTACCACATAACTGTAGGATAATGCAACATCACCAAGAGGTCGAATGCTGAATCTTCAGCAAATAACTACTGCAAGTTGATCAGCAGAGGCCGAAGTTATTACTGGGTTATGTGCCTTATGGTAGAGGTCAGATATGTAAAACAATTTCATTATCTTAAAAAAAAGAAAGAAAGAGAGACCAAAGTTACTGCATTTTGAATGGTTTGCAGCAAAGAGTCTTCTACAGATTGGTGGCTGTATGTCACACTCACATTTTCTTGTTGTGGCTAATCAGAGCTAAACAGTAAAGCTTGTTTCATATCACAAAAATGGACAACCTACCCCCTCAATTTGATTCTGTTCAGATCAGTGCTCAGCATGGCAAAGTACACAACTGCTCCTCTCCCGTGAAATCTGCAACTGTTTCAACACTTGGGCATTATCTTTTCTGAGCCTCTGATCTACTGTGATCTTGCAGCACATGCAGAGTGGAATTCTCTGTCTCTCTCTCGTCTTGCCGTTCAGCAGAAGGTGCCAGTGGCAGTTAGCGGTTAGCCGAGCCGAGTGCGTGGAGAGTGGTGGTGGGTACCTGTAAACTAACACATGGATAGGCGAATCCAACGAAATAAACAAGATTAGCAGGAGTTAAGCCTGACCGATCTGACGAAATAAACAAAAAAACAGCAGGGGGTTAAGTCCTTAAGACCGACCAATCCATCATTTAGTTCCATGTGATGTGGTCTTTGGGGGAGAGAATCAACTAACCGTTCAACTGTTTAAGCAAATTTTCAAACCTCAAATATTCGCAGGATAATGTGGTCGCCTCCATCAACAGGATGAATTTAAAGATGTGATTTTTTTTCTGTTCATTTCATCTAAAAATCGATCTTTATTGGATGAGGATGGAGAAAACTCTCGCTGTCTTTGCTGATGCTGCTGCTGCCGGTGGACAGCAAAAATGTGACCAAAGCCATACTGCCGTGCAGGGTTAACAATGGCGATGTGGCCGACCACTTGTCCCAATCAACGCACTAATCACAAAGTTAAGACGCTCTCATTGCTCCCAAAGTACGCGTCAGCCTCAGCCAGCCCAGACGCCAGAGACGGAAAAACGAATGAACACGATTAAAATAAAAGCACACCTATTTTTTTTTCCTTGGCTGAAAAAGAAAGCAAACTGACCAACGTGTTTGCTGTTTTCAATTTTTAGATTAAATGTCACATCAACTATTTGATCTAGTTTAAGTTTCTATTGTTACCACTCCAATCATCCAGTGTTTTGTGCATGTCACTTTGTTGTAGGGGGACTATTAAAAGAAACTCTCCAAAAAATTGTCATCTGAACCCCCCCCCCCCCCCACACACACACATTTAACATTTGGCCTACAGTTAATAAGCCATAAAAAACAATTTATGATTAGAATTTTTTTATAGAAGTCCGTAACGATTAAAAAGCTAGTGTTAAAAATAAACTACAATAAAACTTTAAAATTCAACTTTTTAACAATTTAAGTTTAAATTTAAATTTTAACAATCCATTATAAGCTAAAAGATAAACGACAAGAGGAGGCTAAAATGATATTGAACTAACTAACGTGAAAAAGGGCGGAGTGTAACATGTATTCTCTCCCGCCCCATAAAAAAAATTAAATCCTAAGAATGAGTGTATATCCAGATTCATCATCAGGATTTAATTTTTTATAGAATGTAGAGAGTATGCTGAATGTCCGAAGGTTACATAAAATTTGTCTTGATTTGAAAATTTCCTAAAATCCTACAGACCAAACAAATCCTGACCAAAAGCATGTTTATCTTTGCACCAACGCTAAGAAACAACGAAACAACAACATTTACACAAGGAAAAGGCAAAATATATAATCAAAAAAAGGGAGAGAGAGAATATTCGAACCTCTCTCTCCCCTCCCGTATAAACTCACCAAGAAAAGCAACCGAGGAAGAAAGGGAAAGAGGGAAGAGAAGAGAAGAGAGGGAGCCAAAGAAAGCTCTCATCTTCCTCTTCTCAAACTCCATCTCTCTCTCTTCTTCTTCTTCCTCTCCTCCTCCTCCTCGCTTGGACCCCGGATTTTTTGCAAGGGGGTAAGGAGGCGGGAGGAGATGGGGAGGGAGGAGAGGTTCCCGGTGTGGGAGGCGGCGCTCGGCGCCGGGGTCGCCGCCGCCTTCGCCACCGGGCTCGTCGGAGTCTACCTCTCCATGCCGGACTCCGACTACAGCTTCCTCAAGTTGCCGCGCAACCTCGAGGAGCTCCAAATCCTCACGTAATCATTCGCTGCCCCCCCCCCCCCAACCTCGTTTCTTGTTTCAGTTGGCGTACGGTCAATTTCGTTCACAAAAGCTCCATTTTGGGGGCGCTATTGTATATTCAAAGTTTCTTTCTTTGTTTTGTGTCGTGAATTTTATGTTTATTGATCAATTAATTCCTGCAAGTAGATTGTCACCTTCGTTGAGTTACGAAGACACGATTTCTGTCTTAATGCGCGTTTGTTTTGATGGTTCAACCGGAGGGTAATGCATAGATGACAGATGCAGTTCTTATGCCATTCTAAGCTTTGCAAGAATCCATTTTTTTTCGTTTTTTGGTGCGATTTGAAGGTTAAAATTGCCCACCTTTTGTGGATCAGCGTTTATGGGAATGGAACAGTTGACTGGGGGGAAATTAGAGGGAATTAGTAGAGTTTATCTCGTGATTTCGGAAGTATCTTAGCGTTCGTCTCTGGGGATTTTCTTTTGTTTCTATGCAAGAGGTAGATCCTGGATCTGGTGAAAGTAATTTGCAAGCTGCGGATTTCATAAATCTGGGAGCCTAACCTGTTATTTCCTTTTTTTTTTGGCCATTTCAAACTGCCCTTAAAATCTGTGAATATAGGAACTCTGCAATTAGTAACGTGTGTTAAGACCTGGAATATTTGCGTGATTTAGGCAATAATACCAAACGTCGTAGCTCCATGATTAACTCAATGGAAGTAATTTTAACCCATTTGAATATTGTTGAGTAAGAAATCCCTCAATCTTTCTCTAATTACCTTGTCGCTTTCTTGCCAGCTACTAATAATTTGTACTCTGGACTGAGTCTATGCATGTTCCATGCTCCTAAACTGAACAATAATACATATATTGATCTGCTCTATACGTGTGATATGAGCTATCGGTTCGCTACTGTTATGTCATGTGGATTGCGTTGTGGCCCAGTTGCTATCATTAGTTATTTAATTTTAAGCTATAAATGAAGTTCGGTTATGTGCATAGGAATAGTCCAATTGCTACTGTTAACAGTGTATATGGTCCTTGGTTTCTGTTTCTAACTACAAAATGTTTTCTTTGCAGTGGACATCTTGAGAACTATACCAGTGATTACACCATACAAGTGTTGGTGGGTTACTGTTCTGTGTACATCTTCATGCAGACCTTCATGATCCCAGGAACAATATTCATGTCATTGCTTGCCGGTTCTCTGTTTGGGCAACTCCGGGGTGTGGCCCTCGTGGTATTTGCAGCCTCTGCTGGTGCTTCTTCGTGCTTTTTCCTGTCGAAGCTGATTGGAAAGCCATTGGTGTTCTCACTGTGGCCAGATAAGCTCATGTTCTTCCAGAAGCAGGTTGGCATCAACTCAAATATTCTAGTTGCTCTGCTTATTGTGTTGAATATCCGATTCAAGATCCTCAGGGGCATCCGTTCATTACTGAAAAGGTGCAACTTTTCTTTCTTTCCAGGTTGCCAAAAGAAGAGAAAAGCTGTTGAATTACATGCTTTTTCTCAGGGTCACCCCAACATTGCCAAACACCTTCATTAACTTAGCTTCACCCATAGTAGATGTGCCCTACCATATATTCTTACTGGCAACTCTCATCGGTCTCATCCCAGCTTCCTATGTTACTGTCAGGGTAAGTTCCTAACATGTTTTTTTTTCATTCTGGTTTGCACGATACCTACTTTGTGTAACCCTGTTCATTGTTTCTTCTTATATCCAGGCTGGGATTGCTCTAGGAGAGTTAACATCATTGAGTGACCTGTATGATACCCAATCGATAGCGCTGCTGTTCTTGATCGGGATTGTTTCGGTCACACCAACATTGTTGGGCAAGGACGAAGCGCAAGAAAAAACAACGGAAATTGCAGTTACCGCGTCATGATCACCGAAGCGCCGATCCGCATGCCCTCACCTGTACATATGAAGCTCCAGCATGCAGGGTTGCTTCAGAAGTAGTAGGAGCATCAAAGGCCTGACAACACCATGGTTTGCAAAGACTACACAGCATGACAGGACCTCCAACCCCAAGTGCTTCCCTGACCCCTCTCCATTACTGGAAGCCTGCTTGGGTTGCCATCGAAACATTTACGAAGTGAAGTGTTTAGCCACCCAAATTATGGAGTCTGGGGAGGCACAATGCCCATCAGGCAAAGCTGCTTTGATGTGTAAGCATTAAGCCAAGTAGTGTTGTTTAGATGGGACAAGCAAACTGATCTGATCCCTGTATATATTGATCAGATTCATTCAATCCATATTCAGTGGTTCAATCACAACCTGTCTCTGTGCCGTGCCGGTCTCCTCCTTGCTCTGCTTGCGATGCGTATGATCGTGTGCCAATTTCTGCGTTTTGGTTTGTGGTCATGTTCTTTTGTGCCACACTTTGCGACCACGATACCCTTTTTAAACAAGATAGGAAAAAGTACACCGAAGGTCCCTCAACTTGTCATCGAGTTATAAAATTGTACTCTAACCACAAAACCAGATATCGGGGGTCCCTTAACTAATCAAAACTGGTCACAATAGATCCTTCGGTGGTTTTGATCCCGGTTTTATCCTACGTGGCGGCTGAGTCAGCATGGGACTCACGTGGGCTCCACATGTCAGGATGCCACATCAGCACGGACTCTCTCTTTTCCTCTTCACTCCCTTCCTCTCTCATTTTTCCCTGGGCGTCGTGGATGGCGACACCTTCGTCGATGTAGCGGGGAGGTTAGGAGGCCCGCCGTGGCCGGCGGCTGGCGGGGGACGACCGCGACGGTCGTCTGCCTTCCCTCGGCCTCCTCCTCCGCGTGCCGTGTGGCACCATTGCCGTGGTGGAGAGAGCGGAGCGGGGGCGGCGGCCGCTCCGTGAATTGCGATATTTTCCTAAGCCGCGGCCACGGTTTGCTTCGCTAGCTTGCAGTATCTGTATCGCACAGAGAGTCAAGGGGACGGAGCTATCTATAGCTAGCAAAGCCCATGTGCAAGAGGAGCTGCATGGCGCCGTCGGAGTCGTGCGCGGTGCGGCGCCGGTGGTCAAGCGGCGGCTGGGACGTCGTCGGACCGCCACCACCAGCTTGTGCTGCAGGCGGAGGCGGGCCAGCACGGCCACCACGACCTGCTCGGAGGCCGCGGCGCCGCACCGCTCCAGGAGGCCCCTGGCCCGCGCGGCGTCCGCGTGGAACCCCTCGGCCGTGCCGACAACGGCGTCCACGTCACGGGCGACGTCCGGCGGCAGCTTCTGGAGGTCTGGAGGTCCGCGAACGAGGTCACCATTAATGATATAAGCTTGTATCCAAATTCCCATAACCTCTATATTCACTGGTTGATAAACTCTTTTAATAAGCTTCAACGGCATGCTGTATTGTTCATTTGTCCCACAATCAAGGACTAGTTCTTTCAGTCCTTTTTTGATGGAAAAACTTCTTTACTCATCTTGCTAATCCCTTGCAGGAAGCAGATGTACTGAACTATATCCAGTCAGTCCTTACTCATCCTTAATTGGCTCATTGTTTATGGAACATTTTAGTTATTTTTCATCCTGCAGGCGGAGGCGGTGGAGAAGAAGAAGGGCGGCAGGGGGGCGGCGGCGGTAGGGATCATCATCACCGCCGCTCCGCTCCGCTGGCCGCGCGCTCGCCTGCCGCCGCCGCCCGCCCGCCTTCCGCACCGACTCCTTCCGCGGCGCCTCCATGCTCAACATGCTCGGCATCTCCGCGGGCGTCACCATCGCCGCCTACGGCGAGGCGCGGTTCGACGCGTTCGGCGTCATGCTGCAGCTCGCCGCCGTCGCCGCCGAGGCCACGCGGCTAGTGCTCATCCATATACTGCTCACCTCCAAGGGCATGTCGCTGAACCCCATCACCTCGCTGGCTCGCTCTCACATTGCGCCGTGCTGCCTAGTGTTCTTGACGCCGCCATGGTACTTCGCCGAGCTGCGGATGCCGCCGCCTCTCCACTACACTCCACCGGCCGCTCGCTTGCCGCCGCTCCGCTCCGCTGCACGCTCGCTGCCGACGCCGCTCCGCTCCGCCGCTCGCTCGCTCGCGCGCCGCTGCTGCTCCGCTCCCCTCGGTCGGTCGCTGCGTGCTCACCCGCCTCCTCGGGTCGTCTTCATCGACCTCTTACGCCCCGTCCTGGAGCAGGCGGCGCCGCCGCCGCGGCCGGCCGCGGACGATGTCGTCGCCGCCTTGTCGCCCATCGCCGGCGCCGACGCCCTCCTCTCCACCCGCTGACCAGCCTGCGCAGAGAGGTGAGAGAGAGAGAGAGGAGGAAAGGAGAGAAGAGGGGAAAGAGAGGGGTGACGTGGACACCCTGACATGTGGGGCCTACGTGGTTCCACCCTGACTCAGCGTCACGTTGGATAAAATCGAGGTCAAAATCACCTAAGGATGTAAAATAAACGGTTTTGTAAGTTGGGGGATTTCATATATCTGGTTTTGCGGTTGGGGACGATTTTGTAACTCGATGACAAGTTGAGGGACCTTAGGTGTACTTTTTCAAACAAGATATCATTTTGTTGGACAGAACTGGTGATTGTTCAAGCTTCAAATTTGAAAGGAAAACGCAGCCGTTAGTTGTTCAAAGTGATGAAAAATGGCCAAATGGACTTTCCTTTTCGTTTCAGAGAAAAACAAGGTCCATTGGACCACTATTCATCAATTTGTTCTAGATGGCTTAACATAATGGGCCAAAACTATCCCAGTATATGTATTACGGCCCAAAAACATTTTTCTGAGAAGAGGCCGAACAATAGTGTAGGCAGCCCACTACAAATATCTGGGCCCATCCGGTTTAGCCACTAAATGGGCTAGATTTGACTGGGCCGATGCGGAGCCAACGCCGACGCAGCCGCCAGCCGCCACCACACCACACCGCCGCCTCCGCCGTGAGCTCGTGGGAGGAGCAGGCGGCGCCTGGGCGACAACGAAGCCGCCGGACCGGACCGCGGACCACATGCTGGGCCCTCTCCGCCGCGCCGCCGTGGCCGCGGGCGCGGCGTCCGCGTCGGCGGCGAGCCTCCGGCAGGTGAGGGTTAGCTTCCGTACTACTCCGCCGGCCTGTGCGTTTTACGAATCCCGCGGTTTATTCGGCGAGGGTTTCGGAGTGCCTCGATTCTGAACCGAGAGTTGGAGAAGGAGCTCTAGTTCGATAGCTGATTTGGAGGAGTTGGCTTCCTGGTTTATGCTCGTGCGATGCGTCGTTGGGTGATCGAAGGGCTGGTTGAATGTGTCGATTTCTGTTGAATTTGGTGGGATTCGCCCGGAGAGAATTTTGATGGGATTCTGTGCGAGACGCAAGGTTTTTTAGTTCTGTGATGCGAAAATATTGCGATTGTTCAATAGCTCTGATTTTGAAATGCTAGTGTATATTGGGGAGTCTGACGGTAAATTTTGGCTTCTGAAATGGTGCAGTTCCAGTGCGCTTACCATCGAAGCAATGAGAGATTACTGCCCTGTCGAGGTAAGCGTGGCCATACCATACACTTTTCATCCTATATATGCTTGTAAACTCTGATTTTTTATTTTTTACACAAAACACAATGTTCTACTGTGCAAGATCACATGATGACTTTTTTAGATGGTGGATAGAATCTGGCCTCTATATCCACAAGGGGATATACACAGCCAATTACATGATGACCTGACGACTTGATTACATTGTTTGGTGTTTCGTCTACCAAGTTAGATGTTCGGTTCATTCGAATTGCACCAGTCAATACAAACAAAATATTTGAACTACTTTAATGTACTATTTGTTGCACAGAGAAGACCAAGAAGTTTCATATGGTCTTAATTGGGCTATTGCTGGAAGAGGTGTTGTTGTAAAAGATAAGGTCTTCTATAACCTGGAGAAATCGGAACTTCAGAAAGGTGGTGCTGCTTACACAGGTATGTGAGTATATGTATTATGCGTACATACAATTGATATGATTGATGCTAATGTAGAACTTGTTACCTTCTTCTGGGCATGGAGAGTGCCTGTCTGGCATTCCACTTCATGTTAGAGGAAATGTCATTAGCGGGATTCCTGATGTTTCAAGAGCTCAATTCGCAAAGCTTCTTAAACTGGTACATTTGTATTTTTTATTCAATTATTCATGCGATGTTATCTCAGAATTGTAAATTGATCTGGATTAGTTTGCCACCTATTGCAAACAGTATTTAAGGTTCCTCTTATCAGTTGAGCTACAGTGCCTCAATTTAGCTGGCCTCCTTATGTTTTGATGGGCTGTTATCTTTCTATAGGTGACCTTTCATCTTTCATCGATCTCAAGTCTGTATGTCCAAGACGGTGCTGTTGGTTCCTCTGTGGAGTGTGATGCAAAGGTCCGTGTTATTAGCGATAACCCCTCTGCTGTTCTGTTGCTCTCCAATATCCTTTGGAAAACACCAGATCGTTCTATTTCCCATGACACATGCCCATTGACTATATATGTTGCCAGCTCGATAAGGTAATCTTTTCTTTGCATCAGCAAAAGCCACCACACCTTTAGCTGATGATAGCGCCAAAAACTAATATTTCTTGATGCATGTTTTTGGACAGTGCTAATGTCAGGAATTCTCTTGGTTCTGGATCACAATACGCCAATGGATTTGCAGCAGCAGACATAGAACGCTCGTCACTTATCCTATGTGGTAAAGCATTTGCTGATTCCGCTATGCTCAAAGGTGCTCTTAGTGCTTTGACTGCCCCTGTATTATCAGCAAGGGGAGGACTACCATTTCCTGGGTGGTAGGATGTGCTCTTTTCTATCTCTCTCCATAAGTATATTTTCCCTCTTTCATAATTATCATATTTGTCTTCCATAGGCTCCTGTCTTTTGGTGGTTCTGCTGTATTGTTGTTTGCTCCAGTGGATGTCATAAAATCCTTAAAACTTCAGGACGTTCTCGTGTCCACTGACAGTGGTGTAGTTGTCTCCCCTAAAGGATCTAATGTGCTATTCGCCACAAAGGCTAGGGAACCAAATTTGTTTACCAGACCAACTCAAGTTATTATTGTATCATCAGATAGGTAATGAAGAACCTGTGCTTCAAAGGGTGCACAACATCATTTGCTGTTTTGCCTCTCATTTACAGAATATTGTGACAAGATAGTTTGCAAAAGTAACAAGAAGTGCTTCATATTTCTGCATGTTTAAGATCCACATAAATTGTAGCTAGAAGGAATGGGACAACATATATGTACTGCTGTTTGTTGCGTTATCTACAGTTTTTCTAAAACTGAGTTTGCTAACAATGTGTTTGGTTTCCTTTTACGTTCAGTACTGATGCCCTACCAGCATTATCAAAGCTTTCTCCAGGCCAGGCTGCTTACCATTTCTTAGCAGGATATTGTGATGGTAAATTTATCCCAGCTTACAGCAAGGACCCCTCCCCTCTTGACCCCATTGCCCTAGCAAATTCCTTATTTTCTCATGTAAGTTCCCTTCATGATTACCACTCTTAGCATTCTGGTATATATGCCAAAAGACCAATGTTCTACCTTTCCAGCTGAAAGAAGATAATACACCTACTTATCTGATAAATGCCAAGAGCTCTGGAAAGTACATAGATGGTAATAAAATTTCTGGCTTTTCATGTATATAATTCTGTTTGCTTTATTTTAGTGAAGGGCTTTTAACTTTCAAACATTGTCAAATACAGGCAAGGAGTTCGTGAGGCTAATAGAGGTGTTATTATCGAACAATCTGCCAGACCGCAAATCTGAAGATATTAGAGGTAAATAATTCATGAAACTAGAATGCAGTTAACATCAACCATATAGTGTGACCCTTTTTTGATGGAAGAATGCATGGCTTTTACTGCAGTGGGGGAATTGAAGGGAAAGTACAAGAGCTTTTTATCCAGCAAATTCGGCAAATATTTACCTAAGGAGTTCTCTTTCTGAGAATCATTATCAATGCTTTAGTGTACATTTACCACACTGGATAGGTTTACTGTCTACATTTTTAACTTGATCTGGGATTGTCACCCCTTTCTCCCTCATCTCTCAAGTCTCAACCACAAAATACGTTACTAATACGTTATGATTTTTTTTCTTTCTCTTGGTTTTGGCATGGTTAATTAAAACTGTGCCTGTTGTAAACGAATTCCAATGTTGTGCACAGGCATGCTTGCTTTTGTGCACAGGCAAGAATTTAGTACCAGCAGGACTGCAGAAGCTTTCTGTGTATTTCTGAGCTCCAAATCGTCCCTTTGACCCTTTATGTGGAAAGCCGCTTCCCACCCAAATCCATTATCCCAGCAGTAAAATATTTGATGTACAACATTGGCACATCTGTATGCTAAGGAATTTGCAAGCTGCTCTTTTTCTTCATGTTGCAATTTTACTGTTCCCAGGACACTATTCCTTCTGGCACAGCTTTGTGGACTACTGGGATCACAAAGGTACGCAGCGTAACGTGCCAATGTCTCAGGACACAAAGGCCGTGCCCATCTGGGGCATGCCCATGTAATGTAGGGATATTGAACCCGGCCGTTTTGTTCATGCAGAGATGTCAGATCTTCACATGGTTTCACTGAGGAGGAACTGGTCCGGTGGTCCCCTTGACCATGGTGGCCTACGCTTCTCCTTTATCTCCAGTTCCATCAACAAGAGAAGCGCTGGACGTCTCTCCAGGTACAAAGCTTGCATCACTTCCGCATCATATTGAGTAGTAGTAGTAGTATCATCTGAATTCACATATTTGGCGTGTATTGGAAACAAACCAAACCGATTTGGCGGTCGACATGGAACTATCGTCTATCCAAGTGATGAGCAGAAAAGATGCTCATGTGGACCTGGTTTTTTGGAACTGCAGATAAGACTCATTTACTGTCACGTAGTATTACTGTCATTTCAGGTCCTTGTTGCAACGGTCGAGATCAACTGAAACAAAACACATTGCCAAGTAGCAGTACTGGTAATCTGATAGGCTTATATTGACTTGGAACACAATAGGAAGCTCTCTGTTAGAACGTTCACCCTTCAGGAACAGGCAGCACAGTACTGGTAAGTTAGCTGCCACTGATCTGCAGCCAATAAATTGCGATGAATTTATGGTCTCATTGAAAGATCACCATTCTCACCATAGGGCCTATACCTGCATAACCGGCTGCTGCCTTTCCGTGCCCATCCTTGCGAGTCACATGAACGAATTAGGCATAGACAATGCAGATTATTGTATTGACTGTTAAGTTCATGTGGTTAGTGGAAATGTTGAATCTGAATAGTAGCTGGAGCAAATCCATTATTGATGAGCAAACAATCTGATCAAAAACATGCTTGCTGTCACATGCATGATAGGCTTTTTGTCCAATAATGCATAAGCCATTACCATTATCACCCTGTAAGGCCAGCTCAAGAACATGGAGCACCATGAAACTTTATGCTTGAGATGAATAGTGCACTTAAACTATATATGTTCTCAAATGAATCTGTACCAATCAAATTGAAAATTTCTGCTCCTTTTACAGCAACATTATCAAGGCATATTATACATCAATAACAATAAATACAATAACTAGAATATGAATGACGATCAAACATGCACAAGGAATAAACAAACGGTTGTAAATACAATCGACCATTTGTATTCTCTTAAAACACCCAACATTTTTTTTTACCATGATGAGGCAATACCCAGAAGCTAGATGACCAGTCAAAGAAAGAGATGCCATATAGCACAAAACAAAGAAATGTCATCAGAATTTATGCTAAGGTTGGGTTTTCTTCTTCAGCAGACCACCAAATTTCTTCAGCAAGGGCTTCTTCTTTTGCGGCTGCTGCTTGGGCGGTGATGCGTTGCCATTGCTCGCCGTCGTGGAGTGCAAACCATTGCCATCAACAATGGAATCTCCCGTGTTGGACTCTAAATCAACTTCTGATTCACCATCGTTTCCCTTCTCCTTAGATGAGGCATCATCAGTAACCTTGCTGTTCTCCCACATCTTTGCAACTACCATTACCGGTTCATCATCCTCGCTGTCCCCCTTGACATTACTTTCTTCCTTGTGACTACCATTTGTAGCTCCATCTTTTGCATTTGCAAGCACGGAGAGCTCCTTTATCTTCTCAGAAGCAACAAGTTCCTTTGCTTGCAAATCATCGTTCTCTTGTTTTATGTTCTGCAACTCATTTTCTTTGTCTAGTAGCTTTTCCTTCCACTGGAAGGTCTCGGCCTTGGCTTCCTCGCATGTTTTGTTAGCTTCCATTAGCTGAGCTTCAAGATGCTTCAACTTCTCCTGTAACTCAGCATTTTCACTTTCTTTGCCTTTTACAGCCTCCAAGGTCTTGTCCATCTGAGCTCTGGCGTTGATGATTTCTTCTTCTGATTTTTTAATTGAGTTAACAAAACTTAGCTCTTTGGACTGCCATTCCTCAGACGCACTCTTGGTTTCTGCTTCCATTCTCTCAACTGACTTCTTGAGACAAACTTTTTCATAGTTTGCTTCGTCAAGCATTACCTCATAGCTCTCCTTTGTATTCTGCAGACTTACATTGAGCTCCTCTACCTGTGCACGAGCACGATCAATCTCCTCTTGTTTATCTAGGTACTTCTCCTGCGCCACTCTCAGTTGAGCTGACATTTCGTGCAAAGCAGAGGCTTGACCCTCCATGGCCTTCTTAATCTTCTCAACTTCAGCTTTGCTAGCTTCAAGTTCCTTGGCTAGCATGTTCTTCTGTTCAATCAGGGTTTCCATTTCTGAACTGGCAATCTTGTCATTGTTAAGGTCTTCTTCCGCCGCTTCGAGCTTCAACCTAAGGTCTTCTATCTCCAACCTTAATTCATCAGCTTCCTTATCAGCAGTATGAAAATCTTCTTTCTGCTTGGCTACTTCATCCTCCAAAGACCTGACCTTATCCTGAAGTGCTTCGATTTCAGATTCTTTTTCTTGGAGCAGAGTCATTTTTGCATCCAATTCTTTCATTGCTGATTCTAAGGACTCGCCCTTGAGAATGTTAGACTGATCAGCTTCCTCCAACCTGACCTCCAATTCCAGTGCTTTTGTCTTCCATTTGCCAAGTAACTCCTCTGACCTCGCGCGCGCCTTCTTAACATCAGCGATTTCAACTTCAAGCTGTTCAACCACACCTTCCAATTCAACTGCCCTCTGCTCAGCGACATTTGCTTTCTCAAGCTCAAGCTTCAATCCAGAGTTCTCTTCTTCAAGCTTCCTAATGTGCTCCACAGCACCTTTTGACGAGCTCCCTACCTCGGAATCAAGCAGCCCTTTGAGATGCGCCACCTCCGCATCGAGGAGCTTGATCTTCTCGGCATTCTCATCTGAAGCCCTCATGGCATCATCTGCCTGGGTAAGCGCCGCGTTCTTGGCATCGATTGCATCCGCTAGCTCATACCTGGCCTGCTCAAGCTGCTCCACCGTCGAACGCAGTGCGGCCATGTCAGCCTCCTGCTGGCTCTGCATGCTCGCCAGCTTCGTCCGCAGCTCATCCTCCATGCTCGCGCTCGCCTGCTCCGCTTCGGCATCGCCGGACTGCTCCGCCGCCGACTCCTCCGCCGCCTTGCTCTGCGCAGCGAGCGCCTCCTGGAGCTTCGCATTGGCCTCATCAGCCGCCCTCTTGGCACGCTCCAGTTCATCCAGGACTTTCCCCCTCTCCTTCTCCTTCTCCACCAACTCCTCCTTGGCCTTCACGAGCTCCTGCTGAACTGCAGCCAGCAGCGCCTGCTGCTCCTGCTCCTGGGACGACGGCTTCACGGCCACCGGCTCTTGAGGCGACGGCTTCGCGGCCACCGACTCCTGAGCGGGCTTCGTCGCCTTCCCTTGCTTCTACAAACCATAAAAAAAAAACACTCAGATTCCAGCCAAAAAGCAAGCAGTTTTCAGTTCAGCATCACCGGCGAGAGGAGGAGGAGCATGAATTGGCATACCTCTGGAGGGGTGGTGATCCGGGAGGCGCTCTTCTTGCGGTCGGCCGAGCCGGGGGACTGGGACTTGTCGGCGGAGGGGCGCGGCGGCGCCTTGGGCACGGCCGGCTTCCTCGCAATCTTGGCGCTCTTGGGCGTCGGCGGCGTGCCCTTCGCCTCCGCCTTGCCGTTGCTCTTCGCCTCGGCATGGCCAGATCTGCAGCGCCAAGAAAAACCGAACCGCCGCCATCAGATCAAAGAACCACAAGGCCAGATCTATCTTGCCCACACCAAAGCAAGATCCAGCAAGCCGGAGAAGCTTGCTGCACCGATCAAGAACTCGCAGCAGAGTGCGCAGGAGGGTTAGCCAATGCTTACTTGGTCTTGGAGCCCTGCATTGCTGCCTCTGCTTCCGCTTCTGCTTCTGGTTCTTGGTTCGTGCACCTCTACTACTCTAACCAAAGGAGTCGCCTTGAATGCGAAATTGGAGGAAGGAGTGGTGAGGTGAGCGGTTGTGGCCGCTCTGCTGTGCCACTAGTAGAAGAACATGGAGGAGTGGAGGGTGGAATTAACTTGCTGCCAAAAAAAGAAGGGAAAAAAACGCAGCTTTTGATCAATATCTCTGCGGTTTCTGCTCACGTTTTCCTCTGCTGTTTTTATTCGGAGCGAGAGAGAGAAGTTGAAGCGAAGGGACAGACAAGCAAAGGTCAGGAGACGGATGAGCTGGAATGCGTTAATCTTCAGGATTAAGAGCTTATTAGTAATAAGTTGTCATTCTGTCATCATCACAGCGGCTGCTTTACCGGAGAGTTTGCGGCTGTGGTATCCCTTTCGCTAACCACCTCGTTTGTTATACATATCCTAGCAAGCAATTCAGCAAAGCAGCAAAAATATTTTTCTTGGATGAGATAAAGCAGGCGAAATTGCTGTAGCTTTTATTCCTTTGTTTCTCTCCCCTCCCCGGTCTCTATTGCTTGGAGACTTTTCATTTTCAGTACTCATTTTGCCAGACGTGACGCTTCAACCGCTGCTCGTCTTTTCATCGGTAGAATTTGGGAGACACTGTGGATATAGGAAAAATTGAACGGCTGATGTGCCGGTTACTACAACCGTTCGATGGCCACATTCTTGATACGCTTCAAGAGTTGGGAGGACATGTCGGTGCGTCGTCTTCGTCAGGTTTCAAGGAAACTCGCGGGCTCGTGGCGCCCAGCCGACATGTATAATTAGTACTTCCATTTGTTTAATCCTGCACGAAATAATCTAATCGCACTGGCACGATGGCGATTCCTGAGATGGCAGGGACAACAGGATGGAGCACTGTAGTCGCGGCAAATTCGCTTTGGAGTTTGGCCACGGTGCCTCGGAGCGTGGCTCGAAGATGCTGGCGTAGCGGTCAAAAAGAGAAGGCATGTCAGGCAACCTTGGAGAGGGTCCTGTACTCCTGTTCACTTATTTATTACATATTACTAATTAAATAGTTATAAAAAAATAAAAAAGACAAGATATATTAATATATAATATATAATATCACTTTACAAACATGTAAATTCAAGACGAATCAACACTTTGGGCAGAACGTCTAAATCACTAGGATAGAATAGTGTCTCAAACTTGGTATGCTATCTTCTCGACTCCTAACTTACTTCAACATTTGTAATGGCTTGCCTCCGGCAATGCCCGCTCCCTGTAATCTGAGACCTTGTTTTTATTAAGTGCAATGGAACATTTAGGTGGGGAACCTCTCTCCTCCGATGATTATTCCAAAGAAAAAATGCAAATTCAAAGCTGTAAAAGAATTAAAACTCTAACTAGTTGTAGAACCTGCATGTTTATGAAGTGATATACTGTACTTCTTTCATCCTAAAATATAATAGATTTTGAATGGATGGGATGCATCATATTAATACGAATCTGAACAAGTTGTATGTCTACATTTATAGTACTAAAATGTATCTATCCATCTAAAATCCATTATATTTTAGGAAAGATGAAGTACATACTAATCTATTTTGATATACAATAAAAAAGTGGGCATTCGTCTCAAATTTATTTATAGCTTCGAAATTAATTAAACAAATACATAATATTGTAATTAGATTATGACATGCACATTTATTGAAGCCTATAAAATATAACAAAGAGGATCAATAATGGGCATCATAGTCATTTCACTCCACTGCCAATTATTCTAATAATTGCTAAAAATAAAATCTTTGTGGAACAAAGAAATTAGTATTTTAAGAAAGCAAAGAAATTAGTATTGCTAGAAATTAGTATTTTATGCCAGTGACTTAATCCTGACCATAAATTTTCACTCTTGTACCTATGAACGCACATTCATATCCCTATAAGGACCTATAAAGACTGATGAGCATCTCTTTACATTATCCACGCTCACTCGTCGTGTGAGCACTTTATATTATTAATACTTTTGTTCTAATCAGTTTAACTGATTGAAATGTTTTACTTCTCAAATTAATATTGGAGAGGTTTGTACCTCTATTTTTTGAATATAAACTGACTACATGTATGGATGAAAAACATAGTAGATGTATGGGTCCGCTTTAGTAAATATACACTTATAATAGATAAATTTCACTATTTACCATCCAGTTTGCATGCTTTTTAGGAATTGTCACTCAGTTTTTATCCTTTCAGATTTTGTTATCGATACTATGAATTTCCTCGTTCCATGCTACTCCCATCGTTCGTAAGCCCCGCCATTGTCTTAACTACTAGCCAGGCCATCTTCTTTGCACCCGACGCCCCACATCCGGCAACATCCTCTCCACGCTCACAACAGGAGTAGGTTGTAATAGGAGCTCACCAACATGCTGGGGCACACACCCATCCCGCTGCTCCTCCGAAGACCGCCGAGGTACATCGATGGTGGCTACTCCATCACAATAAGCGCGTATACGCAACACGTGGAAGGCCATAGACGTGTTGTGGTCATCACAGTTTGCGCAGGAGGGAAGGGAGCAATGATGCCATGCTCAACTTCAAGGGTGACTGCTTCGAGTTTCTCCCTTCCGACTTTGACCGCCACTCCTGCCTAGAGATGACACTCTAGCTGTATGTGCTGGAACTCGCCCACAGGTTCAATCATTCGCTCATTGATGGCATGGACCATAGCATGTAGCTTCCCGTCTTCGTCCGTCGCGAGGCTCGTAGCCGTGTAAGAAGTGACGACGACAACGGTGATAACCATTAGGAACAATGGGTGTCCCATACGGCATCGGACATCACCTTTGCACATTGGGCGTGGCATCGGTGCACTCGTCCTGACTCGGCCACCTGTTCCGATGTATTTTTACAGCAACCACGCGTACACCAATGGTAGAACGTACAAATAGACTCGCTAGCGGTGGGGCGAACGACGAGAGTAGCATTGTATTAAGAAATACACAACTTCTCTAACAAAAATACAAAAAGCTTGCGAATTGAATGACAATTTCTAAAATGACCTACTCTTTTTGTCCCATAAAGAACTCAATCGTGAGTTTGAATCTGGACATATTTATTCTCATAATTGCATTCTTTTTGGACGAAGTATGAATTAGATTACGAATAATGAAATTAAATTCTCCTTATACTAACTAGTAGTACCATGTTCACGATCATTGGGCCAAGCGTCACACTGCGGGGGTACTGTTCGAACACGTTAGGAAATACTGTAGACAAGAATCACTTAGCAAGAGGAACTGTATAACACTAGAAGCTGGTGTGCGCATTGGATCTTTGAGGTTAGAGGACAGAGAGTGCAGTCCCTCCCTCCTTGTCTAGCTTGTGGTCGTTGTTTACTGCTACAGGTGATCCTGGCCGTGCAGACATGGGATGCACTCACGAAAGAAATTTTCTACCGCAGATGTACTCAGTCTCGAAAACAATCGTTCCGCTGTAATCAATCCAGTATAGTACCATGCGTACGTGCATAGTTTAGTACTCCTCCTCTACCCAACTGTACATACAAGCAGCTGTGTGTGTTTGGGATCCAAAGATCGAAAGCGCGAGCCACCAACCGAGGAGGCCGAGACTACACCCCCCGCGTTTTGACTTCTCTGGAGCAACGAGAAATCATCCAATCCCAAATTCCCAATCAACCAGCTAGCTAGCACAAGCACAGGGGGACGAGCGGGCGCGGACGGCGAGATCGATCAGCCGTCCGCGTGCGGTGCGGCCAGCTCACCAGCGGATCCGGGGGGCACCAACCAGCCAACGACTAGTGGCCGTGACATGCTACAGGCACAACACAACACAGCACTACCAGTAGAGGGTCCACGGATTAGATAGCAGCCGGCCGGCGAATCCTCCTTGTCTGACGCCGAGGCTTCACCGCTCGCTCGCTCGCCGTGGTCGCCCAATCAATGCGACGACGTGCCCGCGCGCACCGAACGCGCCCCAGGACGGACGTGTCGCGTTCGTGTGTGTGGGGTTCGCTCGATCCCCCCATGCATGCATGCACCTGAGTCGGCGTCGGCGTCGGCGCCTCGGCGGCGGGCGGAATGACATGGGAGGAAGGTGCAGCACCGCTCGGGTCGATCGGTCCTTGGCCAGTTGTTAACCCGCTGCATGTACAGCATGGCGCTGTACTAAGAATACTTTGGTGCTTGTACACATGTGCGGCAGCATGATTGCGTGAGAATGTTTTGGAGGTTGGGTAGAAATTTCGTGCGGGTCAACATTTTGGCGAAGCCTTCCGGGACCATGTGCTGTTGCGTTGGGTATGTGCAAGTTCGCAACTGGGCCGTAGCCGTAGGACTATTGCTACTATCTCGGTCGCGTGGCTTCCAACCAACAAGCCCACGAAATTCTTTTTTTTCCTTTTTTTTTATAAAATGAAAATAGTTCATATCTCCAGCCTCTACAGTTAGACACAACAATTAAATTTCCGTATTTAAAATAAAGACAAAAGGTGACGTGAGAAACCCTCAACTTCCAAGGCCCAAAGACCAACTGGCTGATGAACTGCAAAAGTACAAGAGTAAAAAATGAATAGATAAAAAAAACTGTGGAGAAAAAAAAGATTGGCTGATAAACAGTTGAAAAAACTGAGGGGATTCGCTGATTAATAGAAAAAGAAAAAGAGAGGAGTAAAAAAAATGAATTGACTGATGAGGTGGAAAAAAAATATGGGACCCATTGGCTGATGAACAGTGAAAAATCGTAAAAAGGATCGGCTGATGACAGAAAAACAATAGTAAAAATGAATTAGGTGATGAACAGAAAAAAAGGATTTTGGATCAGCTGATGAATTGGCTTTGATTAACAGGGAAAAAATAAAAAACATGGGGTGAGAGAGGCTCGAACTCTCGACCTCAGGATCACTCGCTTTAGCTATGAGACCTACGCGCTAGCCAACTGCGCCACCACCCCGTTGGTGTTTGCAGTAAGCCTAAAGAATTATATTACAACAATTTTTCAAATTCAGATTTGACTATCCTGCTGGAATCCGGTAACAATTTTTCAAAGGGAGTACCTATACATTTTTCGAAAGATTTTTATAATCGTATCATACATTTTTCGAAAGATTTTTATAATCGTATCACACAGATTTTTAATCTTTGTATTAAAATCCGATAGATATAATAAAAAGCAAAAAGCAATTAAGAAACACCATAATGAACATTAAATTACCATATCCTCAAGAAAAAGACCAAATCAAATATAAAATTTAAAATTTACATGTGAAGATTCAAAAATTACAGTGTAACTTACAAAAGTTATAGTGTAAGTTTCATA